ATAATAATAATAATAATAATAAAATGCTTTAGGCATTTCCTTATGCTTAAAACCTTTTTGATTTATTAATGTTATATAACGAAATACTTTTTGCCAAAATTTTTAATTAGCAAATTTTACATTTAATATTTATTTCTATTTTAATACACTTCTCCCATTATTCCAATGCTATCGTCACGAAATTGAATTTTTAAATATTTTCAAAATAATTAAAAACTTATCAGATAAGTTTTTAATTTCTCTTAGTTATAGAATACTGATAATGATTAGATAGAATGGAATAGAATATTGATATTTGATTTGAAGATATTGGCTTTCATTCATTATCGCTTAATTATATGTCTTTGAATGATATATTTAAGGGAATATACCTCAATAACAACAACTCGAAATTCCACTTTTTTTCACTTAAAATTTTTCAAATGTTTTCATTTCTTTTCCGTCTAGCAAGAAAAATAGAATTGAAAAATTAAATTTTAAATTGATATTATTTTATATAATAAAGTAAAATTTGATGTTGAAGAGAAAGATGAACAGAGTGGCGAATATGGTATGGCATTCTACTGCTTGGGAAACACTTATGAAACGTTCCGAAGATTCCATTGTTACGAAACGTAAAGCTAGCGAGAGTGAAATTAAATTGAAACCACGAGGTGGTAGCATAGTGATGGCTGATCTTGATATTGAAACACCAACCGAAGCAACTCGCCGTAAAGAACATTTGCTGAATATGCTAAAAAAAGAGGTAAATTGAGTTTAATTAAGTGCAAAATATTTAACAATAACTCTTATCTTGCTTCATTTATATATCATCCAGATTTCAGCTGGTCATCATAGGTAGGTCATTGGTCATTCTCTTTGCATTCATTGCAATGTCAAATTTTTAGGTGAAAATCATTATGGAAGAATCTGTAAATCGAAAAACAATTAATGCCAAAAGCACATATGTGACATCATTGTGTGGTAAGAATAAAATTTAGAATTCTAAGTAACTTTCAACTTTTAACTTCCAACTTTTAGCTCTGTCCCAAATATACTATTTCGATTTTTAAGCAAAACTAAGCAAGTATTTACTACTTTTTAAGACAAAAACTTTTTTTGAAAATGAATTTTTTTACTTCTAATGAATTTTAATATTGCAGCAGCAGTAGAGCAATGTCTATTGGATGGTTTAAAGCGTCGTCTGCTTGGATTATTCGGCGAACGTTCAACTTATGCTCTCCTACATAATATTGCCAAATTTTGCCCCGAAGCGGCAACTGTATTAACACTTACAATTAAAGCGCAAGATGACAAGTCTAATAGATTATTTACACTTATACATTTAATCGTTTTCTTCTTCAACTGAAGTGTAATCTGACAATAATTCTTTTTTTGGTACACTAAATGAATTTGCTATTCTCTTTGAATGTTTTTATAAATTACGAATTCTACAAAAGGTGCTATCTCACATTAAATCAAAAGAGATATTATTGCTGTACCTTAAGAGCTAACAAAAGTTTATTATTATTAGATCATGCCCATCCAATTATTTATGGATTCGATTTGCGCTATTGGCAAAAATATTGCCAGCAATTATTGGATTCATTCATAACTCTGTACAGTAAGTCGTTCTTCTTATCGGTTCCAAAAAGCCGTTCAGCTAGTTCTTTTTTAATGAGATATCAACATGCTAAACTGCTAAATAACATTATTTCCCCACTTCATTTTCTGACTGAAGCGGAAATGATGGAAATGAGAAAAGCGATTGAATCCAAGCATTTATCTAACTTCCATTTTTTGATAGATTTAAAAAGTTTCATGAAAAAATTTTGCAGTTGTCGGCGATACTATGAAAAGAATTCACTAATGTTGGATGCTGCAAAAGGTGGTGTAGTAGCAGCCTTACTTGGTATTTCATTTTCATTTAATATCTAATATATTTTTATTCAGTATATTTACTACTATTGATTTCTTATTTTGTTCTTAAATTACTCTCGAAGTTCCAAACTAAGTGAGCTTTTCCATAACACTGTTATCAGTATGATTTAAGAAGATCGATCATTGGTTTCATTGTTTATAAACAATAATTGATCCGAAACAGCGAAGTAAATTAAACGAAATGATTTAATAGTCAGTATTATATAATAACCATTTTGATCATTGCCAATTTTCAGTTATGCGTGAAGAAATCGTAAGGGAAATTTGATCTCCTAGCAGTAGATAAATGTAAATTATTCTTCTCTGAGATTTTATCGTTTCTTAGTTTCTTCTAAAAATTTTCTTTTCAAAATGAAAGAATGTTTTTCTGAGCTTCTAATTGTGAAACAACAGCAAAGATTACTATTTTAAATATTAATCGGCAATACTTAAAATATTTCATTTTCGAACAATTTCACTGTAATTTGAACTTTCTTCTCTAAAAGGAAAAATTAAGCAAAGAAAACTAATTAGAGAATTTACTCCAACATTTTTCATTTATGAATTATATGAAATAAATGTATCCTATGAAAAAGGTATGATATACTAAATGGGATGATATATTTAAGCATTGATATATTATCGATCGTTCGATTTAATGAATGTTAAGTTGATAATAATTGTATTAATGTACAATTAATAGAAAACAGATAATAAAGAAACAGGTCAGTTATTTACAAAAAGTGATATAAGTGCCAAAAAATAGCTGCTATTTATTTATTGATAAGAAATGAAGCGATGATAATAATGATAGATAGAGAAAGAAAGTATATAAGCAATATCTTCTATTAGATATGTTATACCCGAAAATGTGTATTATTTACATCAAAAAGAGAAAAGCCTTGCAGGTAAGTAATTAATCAGCTTACTGATTATAATCAGTTAGTTTCAAAATATAGCATAATTAATAGAGCAGGAGAGAGAGAGAGAGAGGGAAAAAGAGAGGAAAGAGGGTAATAGTGGCAAGTAAAGTGAAATTTAGCAATTCAAAAATTTTCCCAAAAATAATTATCAAAAAAAGAGAAGAGTACATCATGTTTGATACTTAATGCATTCGGATCGGAGAAAAAAAGGCTTCTGCACCAAACGATAATGAGAAATTCTTTGTGCCTTTTAATGACAAAATTTAATTTCATCTTCGTTTTATGTTTCGTCACTTTTATCATCATTTTCTTCGTCGTATGGATAATCTCATCTGATGTCATTCCTTCTTCCTTTGGTGATTACATTTGTCAACTTTAATGTTATGAAATTCTCACGCTGGTGATATCAGTTGTTTTTTTTTGATTTTAATAGGCATCTTTGTTGAATAACATCCATTCAACAATGGTAACTTTACTTTCTTTGTTTTAGCCGACATCTTTTCAATATGATAATATTTAAATATAAAGATAACAAAAGCGGAATAGATCATACGAAAATTTTGATGCATATCTAGGCATAAATAATGGACAACAAGGCGGAATGGGTCATTGTTATATCCATTTTTCCTTCCTCAGTTTTAGCAAATAACAACGCTGCTTTAGAAACTAATTATTACATGCAGAGTAATAATTTTAATGATGTATATATGGAATATTTTGCATGAAAGTGATGAGGTGGGAGAGAGAGAAGACATTTATGGTAATTGTGAGAAGTGACAAATGCAAAAAGTACCCCCCAACACATCAAATGATCTGATCGCTAGCTGTAAGGCTTGTTTGCTACTGCTACTGCTGCTGAGAAATTAATTAAATTTCCACTCCATCTACCCTTATTTATTCCCATAGCTGTCAATTATTTCTTTAATTAATCGTTTAAAATACAGCAGTATATGCAAACAAACATGCACACATACACACATGCACATGCACACACCTCAATTACACAATATCTAATGAGTTAAAAGAGTTAAAACGTGTAATCACACAAACATACTCTTCAATGCTTATATGTACTTTGATGAAAGTGATTTAGCAGCAGCTGCATGCATGTAAAAGATGCTTAAGCAATAATTGCTGCATAATGCATGTTTATCATAACTATAGTGAGAAATGAATAAAATGATTTGATTAAGTGAGGGAATTTCCATCAATAAGAAGTCTCAGGATGAGATTCATCAATCGATATCATCATTTTAGTCTATAATATTGCATAAACATTGATTGATATGAATTGAATGTGAAGAAATTGTTAAAGAATAGAAGTTTTGTGAGAGTTTGAATTATTTTTCATTAAAAAACATAAACTATAATACACTGATATGAGAAATTATTTTCAACGTTTTTGCTTTTATTTATTTTTTTCAGATAAAAATATATTCGTTTTTCAATTAAGGATTAAATGAATAGGAATGAAAAGCAATTAGCATAATTAATGATTTCATTAATTCAATTGGAAAAAGTTTTATTTTATTTGATGTTGCTGCAACAGAAATCGATGATATGATTACTTATCAATTATCCCACTCTTTCTCCTATTCCTTTTGTTACATCCCTTACTTAATAGGCCTCCTTAAAAGCGAAAATGGTATCACATGCAATGATAAAAAGTGGCTCATTATTCAATATATTTGAAGGAGAACTCTATAATGCACCACCACAATTTGCAACGAAATCTAATCGCTCATAGCATTGTAGTGAGAAGGTGATATTGATAGCTAAGCAAAGAACGAATACAGACAGATTCCACGACAGACATATACCATCAATCTCTCTATCATCCAATTTTTCGACACCTAAAATAGAATTTTCCAAATTTGTGTATCATCCAATTTTATCATCTAAGATAGAATTTTACAATTCAAGAAACTTTGTTAATACAATAATATAAATCGATATAAAAACTCTGTTGTTTATTTTCAATGATTAAAATTACGAGAAGAAATGGATGGTGCAAAAAAAAGGACGCATACTGAGATTGCAATATCTCATTTGATAGTAGCAAAGGCATCATTTAATTAATCCTCTTTCTCGCTTATCATAAGGCTTGTTGACTAAGGCCTGAAAGTTTAGTTAAACTTTTTTCAATTTGCCGATTGAAATGTTTTACTCTTATACTATCAATCCTTTATTGTGGAGAATTTTAATGCTCCTCTTCCTCTTCATATCCATTATCATTTTCATTATGTATTTTAAAATTTATATTTGACTGAAATTTTCTAATTTTCCTCCTCTTCTTCCTCATATAATCTAATTAGTGCTCATGCCAACACAAAGAATGAAAGAAACAGAAGCGAATGAATTTTTCTAACTTTCTTTATATCTAAAAAAAGAATGAGAGAAAAAAAAGGATTAAATTTCTCAGTGGAATATTACAAATATTAAAATTTCAATAAAATTTAATGAATTTCAGTTGGTCCATGTGCTATTGACTATACGACGATGGATTATCAATATGATCCGTACGAAGAACCTCTAGCAGGTGAACTGATAGAACGATATCGTAGTACTCATCCATGTTTATCCACTTCTCCTATATCGAAAAGACCGCCATTAATGGTTGGTTATTTCTTCAAATATTCAAACATTTATGAAATACCGGGACATTTTTGTACAAAAAGAAACTGATATGATGATGTTAAAGTGATAATGTTTGAAAATAGATAGATATAGTAGACTTCTGAAGTTATTCCTGAAAACAGAAAAGATTGATAATTGCAATGTCGGATATTTGGTCAATAAATTCCAATATGCATCAATTTGATTCACAGAATGCAAGTGATATTTAACGTGAACTTCCAGTTTATTTCAGGTGACGAAGCGTGGTAGTAGCATTGTGACAAGCATTGATAGCTGTTCATCACCAGTGTGTACATTTGGACGTGATTATGTATATTCATTACATCAGAACGTGAAGGCATCTTTGTTATATGGTAAAAATAATGTCACTGCAGCTATATCACCTACTGGACCGCCAGTAAAGGGTTATCTATCGTTGCATCAGAATTCGCCTGGAAATGTAACTGTTAAATGGTCACCCAATCAATTGATGCATTCAAGGTCCTCCTAATTATTTGCATACATTTATTAATTATCATTTCTTTCTGTTTTGTTAATGAATTTGTTTATTATATAATGAATCAATTAAACATCGAAGATGAAATTAGAGTAAGATATTTTCTGTTATATCAATTCAGCTCGCAACCATCCTCAGCCTCTCACGAGAAACTCCATGATAATAATTGGCTCTGGAGGCATATTATCAACATTAATATCAGTGAAATCATTTACATACACATACATCAGTATAGTTAGTCTCTTCTCAGCAATTTTCTTTATTATTCATAACTTCAAAGGAATTATTTCTTTTTTATCAAACTCTAAATGGAATTTGAAATTATCTTGTTTTATGATCGATAAAGATAGGATAAAACCGGAGAATATTGCAATGCTTATGTAAAACTCAGATAAAACTCACAATCTTTGAGTATAATGATAAGTAGATTAAGGAATTATCGATAAGATCATTAGTTTATTTGGCAGAGAAAAAGGACAATTGGTGAATGAGCTAATAATTTCAGCTGAAAATTTACCAACAACACTTATTTTCGTTGGAGGTGATGGCGTGCAACATTCACCGATGCATTTCCCGGCTGGTCATCATTTGCTTGCCTTTCTTTCTTGTCTCGAAAGTGGTTTAGCACCTTATAATCGACTTGATCCACCCTTGTGGATTTCCAAAGAGAAAGGTTATTTTATTTATTATCAAATATTTTAATTAAATTAAATCATTATCTTTCAATAGTGCTGCAAACTGTATCTAATATAATTATATAGTAAAATTGGTCGTTGAGTTGAATTTTTCGGTACATTCAAGATGTATGTTAAAAAATAAATCCAAATAGTGCTAAAATTTGTGTAATATATTATCATTGAACAAATTATTTCCTCGAAATATCAAAAAATACCGTATCCGGTATCAAACTAATTCTGATGCTTGCAAAAAATTTCAAATAACTTCGTGATGTTTTTAATGAGCTGTCATTTTTCTTTCGCCAATAATCCATTTGTTCATTGGAAATCATTGACCATTGAAAATAAATTGTGATTCATTCATTTTAAGGTAAAATATTGCCAAAATTGCGTCGAAAAAGTACGACAAACGAGTTGAATACAAATTGTAGTGAAAAAAGTAAATCGCAGGATTATGTATTTCGCCTGGTACCAACCTGTACACCACCACTACAACTCAATGAATCAAATAATGATTTAGATGAAAGTGTTATTCGTGAAGTAGCAACAGCTAATGATTCGATCACTAAATTAAGGTTTCGACTACTTTCTTCAACAACAATTTACTACTGGAATTGTATAATGAAATGATTTTTCCTTTATTTTTCTGTTTTTTTAATGCTTAAAAGAATTGATTAAAAGAGGAAAATTTAAAAGTGTTACAATAATAATAATACCTTATTGATTTTCCTCTCAACGTTGCAGAAAGCGAGAAGAGAAACGAACGCTAAGTGACAGTGAAGTGGACGAACTTATGAGGTTAGTTCAGAAAGTGTTATAGCCATAGGCTTAGAGTTGCATTTTTTTGTGACAATAAGTCATTAGTTTCACTATTAGAATTCTTATAAGTGAATGGTTGAGGAATGCTTATTGAAAAAGCAATAAGTTTTGTCAGTATATCAAATGGGTCATTTTAAAAGGAATTAGTACAGCTAAAATGAAATGATAAATTAGGAATAATCTGAATATGGCAGCAAAATTTATAAAAGAATTTTCTGCGATATAAATTTTATTTCATAAAAATATCCTACACAATGCTTTGCTTACAATCATATTTTAATTAACTTTATAAAACTTTCCGAGTTTGCAGGCAACATTTCACGAAAGCGTGTTCTTCTATGAGAATGCAAATTTTGGCTCGAAGTTTCTATGGATGTAAGCTTCAATTTCACATTTATTCTTCAATTCATTATATTTTGAAAGTAATCAATTTTTATTTTCTATATTCTTAATCCATCATAATTATTGCTATCTATAGAAAAATCATTTTTCCACATTTCCTACTGCAACAACAATCATATAAAATACAGATCTCAAATACTGAGAGATTAGAGTGAAATTAATCCGAGATTCTTTGATGTGAAAATTTTTCTTAAGTAATTTTTAAGTGAAACATCTCATTCGTTCAGTTATTCCTCCAATCACATTAACCCTAATCACTAATAAATCATCTATTTTCTTCATTTTACCAATTGTTAATTTACTGTTATACAAGTGTTTGTATGCAAATTAAGTGCATGCATACTGCTGCTACTGAATTAGTCATTGGTCATTTCTAGGGCTAGCATATTGTGGTCACTTGCGTACCATTCGAAATCATCTGTCATCTTTGATAGATTCGAAAGCAATAGTAGAGGAAGCAAGTATTCCAGTTGACGAGGATTTTTGGAAAAAATGTCGGAATTTGAAATCTGTTAGTGATTTTGTTGACTACTATACTTGTATTTTTCTTTTATCACTCACCATCAGTTGATCTTGAAATGCGTTTTCAAATCAGGAAAAGATGGAGAAAGAATTCTTATCGAGAACTTATCGATTTGGTATCAGTGAAAATGGATCCTTTATGCTTCGGCGTAAGGTTTGGCCGTACCTACTGGGCTTGGTAAATTGGTCACAGGATTTCGAACAGCTTAAGAATACATATCGTGCAAAGTACTACAATGATGTGGTGGAATGGGAAAAGATCGAGAAAATTGTTCGTGAACGTGACCAAGAAGCATTCATAGCCGGTTAACAATTATTAATTTTTACCCAATAAATTTTTGAAAAGAAAAAACTTATTTTTCAAAAATGGTTTTCAGAGAAAACGAGTAGGTAAAAAATGAAAGAACATGTTGATAAAGTATTTCACAAATTTATTCTTCTTTGTTTAATTTTAAATTTAGATGCCCATTACATTCAAAACTACTTTATCTCTTTACTATAATTGTTAATAACAAGAGAAAATGATTATTCTGATTGCAAAAATTAATTTTACACAAGATTATTCTGTAATAAAAATGATGAAGTTCCAATTAGTTAATATCAAGTTCGATGATAAGATGATAAAATGACTAGAATACTACAGAGAAAAAGCTAGGAGGGCAAAGTTTGCACTCTAATTTGAATGTAATTAATCTCAGTGAAGGAATATATTTCTAGCCCGACTTCGATATCGTGCGAGTGACGCTAAATTCAACTCTGAATCATTCGAAGGAACATCTCTGAGTAATGATGTATTCAAGGAAAATAATGAAATATCCAAAAGCGAGAAGGATAACGAAGAGGTAAACTCATTTCATTGATATGATAATAATTTTAATGATACGATTTTTCTATTCAACCCATGAAATTTTTTTTTTAGAAGTTACTTTGTTAGAAAATGAATTGTCTCTCTGAAAAAGTATACTTTACTCATTTCTTGGTCAAATTTCAGGAAGATTTGATGACAAAATTTAGCGTCAATCTTCATCGTATCGAGAAGGATGTAGAACGTTGTGATCGAAGTTCGGCTTATTTTGCCAAAAAAGAAAATCTACAAAAGCTGAAAGCAGTGATGTGTACATATGTATGGCGGAATTTAAACGAAGGATACATACAAGGAATGTGTGATCTAGCGGCTCCACTATTAGTCATTCTAGATGACGGTTGGTTTAACAATGATCATCACCTTTGTTATTGCAAGCAAATTACTTATGTGATTAACAACTTGAAACGTTTAATAATTAATTTATTACTTAAATATGTTGTAAAATTATTTCAACAGATAAATTATTGTAGCAGTGATAAGCATATCTGGCAGAAGTCACACTGTACAGAATAACAAGATATAATCCGACTGTAAGAAAGAATAGATATTGGTAATAAAGGAACAACTAGCCATTAAAAGTCTCTGATATGTGGTCATTTACAGAATCACTGGTATTAGCATGTTTTGATCGATTGATGCTCCGAATGAAGCAGAATTTCCCGCAAAGAACTGGAATGGATGATAATTTGACTTATATGAATTCTCTCCTGCAGGTTCCGGTCAATATTCTCCAGTAAACGTTGTCGTTTTTTGAATCACTATGATCTATGAAATCATTTGGTTTCTTGGAAATTGAACATTTCTATTTCAGGTAATGGATCCGGAATTTTTTGAGTATATAGCTAAAAATGGTGATGCAGCACATCTCTCTTTTACTTATCGTTGGTTTCTGCTTGACTTCAAGAGAGGTTTCTTTTTTTTATTTCTGAAAGCTAAATAGAAAATAATTTTTAATCGATTATCATTTGTCAGATTTGCAAATAAGCTATTTAATTAGTAGTTAGATAAATAAATAAATATGAATATGAATGATTGGCTAATCAAATTATCATATCGATCAAACAATTTATAGTATATTTATTTGAAGAATTTACCTATCCACAAGTGTTCCGTGTTTGGGAAGTAATCTGGGCAGCATCTTCACTGGTCACTACTCATTTCCATTTATTCTTTGCTCTGGCAATGATCATCGCATATCGTCATATAATTATTGATAATCGAATGGATTTCACTGATGTTATCAAATTTTATAACGGTTTGTAAAATGAGAATTTAAATTATTTTATCAGTATTAACGTTGTTGATTTTCTTAAAATTTTTTTAAGTAGAAAATAGCTTTTTAATAAAATTAGAAATTAATTGGATATCTTTATTTTTTTTAATTTTTAGGGAATATTTTTTTCATATCTGAATATTAATAATTCGATTTATTGACGCTAAAAATTTCGAAGATTTCAATAGCTCTCATTGTTTCATATGTCTGATTTAATTTGCTATTAATTGTTTTTTCAATTAATTTTAACTTTTTTTTTTGAAAATGGGATGTAAATTTGTAGAGATGGCAGAAAGGCACAATGTGGAGGAACTTCTCGATTCAGCTCGAAATCTATTGAGACGTCTGCAGACAATTATTATGGAGATCGAATCGATCAAAAATTGAGCTTAGCCATTACAGAGCTAAAAACTTTCAGTATAATTATTTGTGCTACTATTTATTTACTTGAGGTATGCAGTGAATTCTGAGATTTTACAATACAGTTTTTTTTCATTCCAAAAATAACAACTCTCTTCAGTAAACAAAAGATAGCATGTTACTTCTAACTTCAGTTTTGGGAAAGTAGAATTGAATTTCTGAATGATGAATTTGAATGATAAAAATTTCCTAAGATAATAGTCATCGAGAGCAATAATGTCACATTTCATTTTTAAAACTCAAAATTTAACCTTGAATTCTTCATCAGCGATAGTTCTACAGCAAAAGATTTAATCTTTCAAATTTCGTTGTTACATAAGTAATCTTAAGTAAGTTAGAAAATCAAAATCAATCACCTATATTTAACCTATTCCTGTTGATACATGAGTATTAAGTTTTTCATCTTTTCGTTTTTCTTTTACTTTATGTCAGTGCAAAAATACGCGTTTATTTTTCTAATACTAACTTATTAATATTAAAATGTTCAAATAACTATTATGATAACTATTTTTCTTATCATATCACTGGTTCGGATGTTCAAATAACTATTTTCCTTATCATATCACTGGTTCGAATGTTCTGTTCATTTATGATCTAATGTAGTCTTTCCTATCTATATCCATTTATCGGTGACTCTTTATATTGCGATTTATTTTTCTTTAATTCCAATGGCCAATTTGTTGTACCTGTGAAAATTTTTTAAATTCATACTGCAAAAATAATCACGCACCAACAGAGGTAATCATTAGAATTGTTATCCGTTACATCGATATTAACTTATACTGCTTTATTTTGCTTATACTAGCATCTTTATTACAGATATGAGAAATCCTTCATTTTCTACCCTAAAATTAACGCTAAATTCTATTATCAAATGATGATGATCAATACGGATTTTACAGATAAAAATTTCTAACAAAAACGAAGAGTAAGAATATCAAAAAGAAGTTCATATTAATTAAAAAGTTGATTTAAAAAATTTCTGGACAAGTTTGGGAAGTTTTGTTCCAACTCCTGTAGAGAATCGAATTGCTATCAATTGATCGATCTTCAAAAATTATAACAAACGTAAGTAATATTTATTTTATAACCGATATAAATTGAAGGAAGAAAGCATTCTCGTGATTTTCAAGTTCTATCTTTACATTTTAACAATTATTTCGACAAGAAAAAATCGAATCTAAACAATAATAGTCTTCGTAAATATGCTAATTGAAGCAACAATGTTAATTGATTTGGAAAATATTCGTTCATTTGTAATACGGTAAGTTTTCTGTTTCATTTCTGATTTGTACTTCATTTTATGCACTTCTTCATAGGATCGAAGAGAAGCATAAATTGTTTATATATCTTATGCTGTGTGATCATGTTATTGTGAAAATTCATATGATAAATATGATAAAGCAGTAATTCGGTTAAATTCATCTGACACTAACTTTTTCGTTCACTTCATAATGCTTGTCAGATTTTATTCATTGCAAAATGCTTAACTGCACTAGAAGTGAATTAATATTATTATTTTTCTTTGAAAAACTAGAAAAGTTATTAATTCAATTTAGATGGGATTTGTATCAAAAAGAAATCGAATAATTTTGTCTCAAAGTTTTTGCTTCATCGATAAAGATAATAAGTTTCTTTCATGCGATATCTCTTTAAAGTAAGTTACTGCTTTGCTCATTACTCTCAATACAGAGCTTCAGTTACTCTTTATTATGAGAGAAGAATAGGAAGTATTGTTGATCAAATGATGCTCATTTTTACAAATTTAGAAAATTTGAAGATTTTAGAAGTTAGAGAATCTTATTTTATTCCGACAAAATTTATTGCATTTTTTTCAAATTCAAACTTATCCTATTCTATTCTTTTTATTCCAAAATATTCAGGATAACTTTGCACCATTTTAAATCACACGAAAAAAAACTTAAAATTAAATTAAAAAGTTAGAAATTAAGGAGAAAAATAATTGTAGTAATATCCTTTTATTGGCCAAACATTGTAGCACTATTGTATGACAAGCTGAAATGGAATTTTTAATTGTAATTTTAAATCTACCAATACATAATTAATTATACCTATCTATTCCATTTCTTTTTTTAATCTTGGATTTGGATAGTATTTAACGAAAATTTTCAGTATTGCAATACGCAGTATGCTATTATAGCATGCATTTCAGTTACATTGCCATTAATGCGTTGCGATATTACAATTATTTTTTTTCTTGATAAACTTAAAATGATGCTATTTAGCTTAATTTTATCATTTCCTAATAAATATATTTTTTTGCAAATTTCCTTACGCTATGGAAATATTAGCAAAATTCTTGTTGTATCAAATTTTTGCAATCAGTTTTATACTTTTTTTTGATTGATCAAATTTCCGAAATATGCAATAATAGCGCTAATTACATAGGGATCTGTCTGCTGCGCATGATTATTCACTTCTAACTGCCGTGGAAGACAACAATCCCTAAAATGTTAGGCATGATTTATTGGCTCATTTGAAGGAATTGGGAGATCATGATTGGAAAATATGGAGCGATCAAGGGAACATTGGAGATTTTAAAGATTTTATGGATGAACTGTTGAGTGAAACATTGAGAAACGGTATAAATCATATCGACCCTGCTGATCATATCAAATCATATCGATCATATCGATCCATATTGGTATGGTACCTCTCCTCCTTTCCACCTTTCATATATCATATGCATTGTGAACTTCTCATTTGGCGCAATTCATGCGTCATCTGAATAGTAAATATATTTTCTATTAAATATTTCTAGGATTAATCAAAATCCCATGATACAGATATTAGACCAGTGCCAAATTAGGTCGATTCGAATTAGATTTTTCAAGACCTTATGACTATCGTATTCATATTCTTCTCGACCAGCTTACAATAAGTCTCAAACGACTGAAATTGGTCTATATGGACATGTATTATCTATAGGCCCATCTCTGCTTACATTCAAATTGTTACTTTTTTTCTTTCTTTAACAAATTCAAAGTGTATGAAGTGTTCAGAACTTCTATCATCGCTTGAATTCTAAAAATTGTCGTTACCCTACACTATCCTTCACTTTTTTAAAACATAGTTTAATCCTTATCATAGGCTATAGGAATATTATCGCAAACTCGGTATCAGCTCATGTCTAGAAACATGGGTCATCTCTTGCAACGCCTCCAAGAGGAACAAGTTCGAAGCAGAATTCTTCGAAAACAAACTTCCCCACAATAATCATATAGTTGTTAAGCAAAAGAGATTATTAAAAGGCACCTTTTCCACGGCTTTCATCACACAATTATATTAATTATTAATAGCAAACCTTTCATTTGATTATCTTTGCACATTAAAAATGTAAAAAAATTTTCTCATGTCATGGAACAAGTAATCAAGTGATGAATGACACTTAACGCTTTAAGCCTGACCATCCAAATTCTGCTTAATATATTTCGGTTCAAGATATTTTGACAAACTGAAAAATGAAAATTGGGAAAGCATAGATTTGTTTACTTGCTGGGAACAAATTCAACATACAGATTGGAGCAAACTTTCAAAAAATAACCTTTTTACAACTAACGAAGCAGCAGTGCAAATGTGTGTGGGATTCATACTAAAAAAACCAATTTTTTTTGCAAAGACCTAAAAAACTGCGGAAAAGTGATCTAGTTCATCAATTATCCTTTACTGCCAACCAATAACGGAAGAAATCAATAACAACAAGGGCGTCAATCAAGAACGAGGATAAAAAACAATCGACAATTTATTTTCGCTTTGAGTAGTAAGGATTATTAATACTTGATAACCCTAAAATACATATGATAAGTCCAGGAATATTCAGAAATATGAAGACATATATATTTAATAATAATAACGATAATGTCCATATTTCATCTTTTCATCATTACATTCTATAAATTATAAATGCTTTATCATTACATTCTATAAATTATAAATAACACTATTTCAGAAATATGAATTATAGAAAAATTTGATTGAAGCCATCGTTAAAATACTTCATAGCCCATCCACATTATGTTGTAAGTTATTGATCAGCGCCTGCAATTTTTCATTTATTTCATCTCACATATACCAGCATTTATTAATGACGAGCTAACCTAATTTTAGGACAATATATTATAACTTCAAAAATAACTTTCTGTAATAGTAATGGCATACCAAAACAGAGAAACGTTTATCACAAAAGAAATTAACCGCTACATACCAAAAAATTAAACATACCTAGAAAAGGTGAAATTTTGAACTGTTTTAGTCCAGGTGATGATGAATAAAGAGTTAAAAATTCATTGGCAATTTTGAGAGAAGAATTCTTTTCTTCTGTAATATTCAAAAATTTGGCACTTTCAAGAATGCAGCCAACATATTACAATAATTATTATTATGGCTTTACCAGTAATTTCAGAAGAAAAGTGAAAGTAATCAAAACTTTACAAAAGTTAACTATGATTGAAGAAAGAAGTTACAAATTTGGTTATAACTAACCGACTTGTTCGAACTCATTTTGGTCTCGCCTAATATCATCAAGAAATTCCCACGAGCCATTGTCTTCCTCATAAGTGTGGTAATCCATACTCTCGATAACATTTTTCCATAATAATTCATTTTCCAGAGTACTCACATCTTCAGCAAGAGGTGAAAATTTCCGCATAAGCGGTGCAATAAAAGACAGCGACCTGAAGATTGCAATTGTTGAGGCTACAATTTTAAAGCAATTTTCAACCTACACATTTTCACCAAATGGAAACGAATACACATTCCCCAACTTATAGCCTCTAGGATCTCTTTACACTTTTCCTATAATATTCTTCTCATTTTATCTTTAATTCAAAAAAAAAAAATCTTGTACCAAATCAGTACGACATATGAAAGTTTACCTCTCCAAACTATAAGAGTCAAATGGAAAATGAGGCTCGAAAGGCATCATCTCTGCTGGTTTTGCTGGTAAAATATGGTTCACATAAATAAGCTGCATAGACCTGTAAAATTTCCAAAAATAAGATCAGAATTTCGAAAATTTCACTGCTTAAAATGAAGTTGGATCCATGGCTGATCTTTAAAGTTTTCAGAATTTCATCAAGATTTTCATTGAATTAAAACTTTAAAAATTTCATAGTCATTTAAAAAGTTCATTCCTGGAAGTATTATAGTTATATACCAAACATCAACTTTAGGAAGATTACAAAACTTATTCAAAAATGATATGAAAAGTGATATAAGGCAAAATTGCTGAAAAAACAAAAAAATTTTGACCTGCTTATTGTTGCAAAACATAAAGCGACTGGATGGCTAATACACGACAAAGGCTCCAGTGTGCTGTGGACAATATGTCCCAGTCCCCAGTGATGTATTTTGGCCATCTCTGAAAACGCTTGAAAACTATTTTCCTTTTTAAATCCACATAGAATATGGAACTTTAGTATTACTTACTGTATCTTGTGGAATGTATGTTAAATATATCTGCCTTCCAAAGGTCTTCAGACATGAGCAATTTATTTTGTTCAATCAACAAGTTAATGTAAAGCTGCAGTAATTCAAATCTGATAATGGTATCTTCAGGCTTCCTAGGCTTCTTGAACTTACATTTTTTCGTGTTCCAATTCTGTTTATAGCTAACAAATAAGGATGATATAATATTCAGATTGCACGATGATATAATATTCAGATTGCACTTCATGTAGCAAATGATATATCAATTGTTAATTACTATTATAAAAAAAAAATCAAAACGAGTACCGACCTTGTGCTTGTACTATCTCACGATATCGAAAACAAAACACAATAAGAAAGGCCTGGAAGACAGCATAGAACGTTCCATGTCGAGTCGAACCCACTGTTGCACTAGTTGTTCGATCAACCATTTCATTCACGTAAGTAGTACACCAATGTGACAATACTTCCAACCACTGCATCGCTGTACTGAAACAGGAACCAAAGAACTGATGATTACAAGAATTGTTTCGACTTTCAAAATTTCCATTTTTCAACTGGAAGTCCTCCTCACTTTATCTGCCTATCCATCGGCAATTACAAAAAATAATTTTGTATGTTCTACTAAAGCACATCTGTAAAGCAGGGAAATTATAAATTAAGCTTAGAATAATACGATACTGAAGGAAAAGATGAAGAAAAAGTTACCTGAGATTAATGTATGAAGCACGAGAAAGGATGCTACCGATATAACAAGCAGCACCCTGCGCTTTCTTCCAATCATTAGGCGTCTGGTTCAATCGAGTAATGAAACTCCATAACCAGCTCAGAAAATGTTTTTGATAACTCTGCAATTTAACAGAAAAGAAAAATTTTATCTCAAAAAAAAAGGAATTATATGCAAATAAAGCAAAATTCCGTGTAAAAAAAAATAAATAGAAAAAAAACAAGCTTAGAATAACTCTACCTCATCAAAACTGCAAACGTAGAACCAAAGGAACGGTATGTTTTTCAAACCATGTGCCATTAAAAGATGCTCCTCGAATACAATTAATAATTCCTTCAATACTTTTTTTTGTCTGGATACTGACGGAAAATAATCACAATCTGTAAATCATGATTAAAAATGTTCGATATGAAATTTACCGAGTTAAGAGACCTCTAATTTTTTAAACAGTAATTTTTATGTCAAGTATCCTACTTGCAGCTGAGTATGAAATGAACTTCAAAATGTTTTAAAACTTACTGGAGAGGTGTGAAACATGTATTTAGTCCCTAAAAACTTTTAAAGAACAGAATTTACTCCGAAGTATTTTACTATCCATGAATGGTATTTTTTCCACAAAATTAACATTATAAATGCTTTTAAATTAGAATTCAACTGCTAGAAAACTTTCAAGCAATAAAGAAAGGAAGTATGTACCTATTTCTGTTGGCTCCCCCAAACTGCAAAGTTTTCCTATATAATCGAACATAATACACATGCAAGTGTCCAGCTTCTCCACCTTATCATTATTATCTCGCACTTCATTAACTTTCATTTCATATTCCTCATCCTTAAAATGATAAAGCAGTGAAAAAATACGCCAAACAAAAGTCATTCATTAATCTCAGCCGTTTTTGAACACATATTATTATCGTACTGAGCAAAATGTCTTTATTAAAATGTGTAAAAAAGCTTATTTATGTAATGGTCATAATGAAGCATAAGCCTTGTAACTTCAAACAAGCCAGGGTGATCTGATAGATGATATAGCAGATAATTTATACATAACACTCTTCAATGTGTAGATTGGCCAAAGAATTGTAATTCTTTTCTGACGTTTTCTCCCGAATAGAAAGTTAATTGTATAAATATATCCATTAAGCTAACCAATAAAAATATATTCAGACCACCATCAAAGCTATCCTCTTTCCTTTTTGAATTTTCTGCCTTCGTTAACACTGCCTGAAATTGTATTTTCAGTTTCTTAAACACTTCTGGCTATATTCAAACCGATTCATCAATAATTATACCGTAAAACATAGAATAAATGAATTGAAATAAATCATAATACTCACATCGAGTTGAGCAAGACCGTCAGTAATGATGCAAAAAATATCCTCTCGACACTGCGGGATATTTTGACATATTAATATAAGATTTTTTACATAACTAACATATCGAATTGATGGTACCGAATGATGCGGAAAACGTTGACGAATACTTTTGACGAGAATTTTCATTGCCCTAAATATAGCGACAAATTATTAGGGCACCCTTAGAAGTGTTCAACCTCGGTAGGACTACCATCAATTTATATCAAAAATGTTACATGCCAACTTCAATCTGGAAAAATGAATATAACAAGTGGAGAGAGCGAAGATTGAACGTGAAATTCAGTTGGAATCAGAAACATTTATAAATTAAGAAAAAAAAGACAGAGTAGAAATGAAAAAATCTGAGATGGTAGCCGATATTAAACTAACAAAAAGTTCTATGGAACAGTCAAGTTTATCCAATGAATTTCATTGTTTTAGCGATCTCAATAGAGACATTAATTGTCGGACACATTGACTATGTTCATGTTTTTTTTAACGATCTGTTTCGTTTGATTTGTAGTTTGTAATAGTATTCCTTAATCATTTTAAGGGAGCCTCATTATTACGATGAAAACTAATGTTCTGTGTAAAAATTTGGAAGTACAATTAGGAATATATTAAAAATCAATTAAATATGCACTGGGATTCTTTCTTTACTCTTCTTCCTTGCAAAGTAATGAAAAGAAAATCTCTTAAAAATAAAAGCTCTCATAAATCGTTCGAAGCTAAAATGAAATAAAGGAAGAACATGTTAATGCAGTCGGAGTGGAAACTTACAGAGGAAAACACTTCACTATAAATGCCAATCCATCACTTGCCAATTTGTATATATTTTCCTGTTCTTCCTCTGCGAGACATAGAGCACACGCAGTGTTATTTCTTTCTACCAAGTTTTTACTTTCTGAAATATTAAACTAAAATATGGAATCGACCACTACTAACCAAATGTGAAACTTTTTAAACCATGAAAAAGCCCCATTTGGCTTTCCGTCTCTCATCCCCTGCAATGCAGTTTTCTTTATTCCACGATATACTGACTTTCTGATAACAGTTAGGCCGCCATGTTTTTAGTTGTTCTTTCTTCTTTTCGAAATTTATAACAATTTGCAACTGATTAACCTTGATTTTGATTAGTAATAGAAAGAGATTGAACTTTAGCAAACAGGTGTCCCACGAAACATTTTATAACCGGTTCAGTATGACAAATGTATTGTACACCAATATCTCGAAGAAGTTTCACGAACTGAGGTCGAATTTCACTCGGAACAAACTGCCAATCAAGTTGCTAAATGAGATTCGAAAATCAATTGGATTGCTTACTTTTGAAGGAACTTTAAGATTGCACATGTTACACTAACAACGTTTTGTTGCAGTTCTGACAACTTATGAGAAGATAAAAATTGTAGAAGATTATGGCAAGTAGAAGATAAAAATTAGTATCCATACGAACGAATCTCTAAGAGTGCGATTATGAGCAAATGATACGAAAGTAACTCACATCAACAGCCTTACAGTAATCCTCTCAATAGCGTAAATCTGTAATGCATTAATGAGATGTAAACTAACAACAAATTTGAACACGAGCTGTTTACAGCGATGATCAAAAAGGTGGGCGATGTCCACAAATTGACGAAGAAAGTCAATGACTGCTTGTGAGTGCCACTGGTTCAAAAAATCAATAGCCTTACATAGTTTATTGTACGTTAGCAAACCATTTATGTCCCCCTGAAAAAATTGTTAGAATAACAATATTTATGCTGCTACCAAAAGCAAAGTGGTCACTGGTACTGCAATGCCGCACAAAACAACTACAATATGTTGCTTCAACCGTAATATTATATGCTGCATGCAGACCGATCTTCGCAACAGACTTGATGCTGCATATAATAATAAACAGCGAGCCGAATATCTTATTTCCTGATTGTTGTCAGTTTAATAAATTTCGATAAAAACTTACTGAAAGATAAGTAGTAATAATATCCTCTCCCGAAACTGCTTCCGTCTTAACGTTGTTCGCCATTTCAGCATGACAATCGTTCAAAACAGCGAAAGAAAGCGCTATATGAGGGAAAAGTTACTGTAAAACAGAAAGTATTAGAGTGAAATCCCACACTCACCACTAGTCCACACCCCATATATTCAATAAACCCTTACCTCCCACTTGCCTAATTCAGCACGAAGTGTATCAATCCGCGAAGAAACTAATTCATGCTGTGTCACTTTTGTTACTGAACCATTATGCAAAATGATTGTTGCTGTGTCAGCATGAATTGCGTCTTTTATTTTCTTTTGTCTTATTATTGAGGGTGCAGATAGGTTTGTTTCAAATGCTAACAATGAAATTTCTTTTAGTTCTTGTTTTCGTTGGAATGATGACTGTACCTTCTTCCCTTTATCCAAGCAATAGCATCTATTTCTTTTAAATACAATCCCACTTAATCACTGCTTTACACACTGAAGAAATTTTAGTAAATCTCTTACATTTATACTTCATAGTCACATTATCTGGTAATTAAAATTTGATCTCTCCATAACACAGTTTGGTTACCTTTCATGAATTCATTGGTGTACATTTACGCTCGAAATACGAATGATAAATGGTTGACGCTATGAGTTGAGAAAACGTTTCGAACGTCTAGAAGCCGTTTCCTTTGCCTAATAAATTTATATTTCCTTCTTACTCAATATTTTCTCAGATTTAAACTTCGAAATTCAAAGTGAATTGACCCTTATTTTAGGTAAGCTATTATTTTTTTCACTGATTGAATTTATTGTCAGCATGATACACGATTTCAAGAATATTATGTTCTTTGATTTTTTTTAAATTAATGTTGGAAGGTATGAATTATAGAAATATCCTTACTTCTCTAATAAATGAAAAGGAGGAGAACGCACATTGAAATTCATCGGATTAGCGCTTCAATGATAAGTCTTACTTTCCATGATGAATTTTACAAATCCTTTGCTCCAAATTCTATAGAGTTCCATAGCAAGTCTTATAAGAATTGATTTGTAATCAAGCTTTTTTTGAAACTTTTGGCCGGTCATTTTTTAAAACTTTTGGCAGATCATTTTCTCTTTGCAATTCTTTCAATACTTGTTGATACAGTTGAAAGCAATTGTTGTTGCTTTAAAACAATTATCGAATCTTATTCCCTGTTGTCATCTGCACTACATAGTGATCAATGTATCAAAGAAGTTAATCTAGCGCTTTTTAAAAAGATGAAAAATGGTGACAATGAAGCTATCCAAAATTTCTTGACTAATTTTCACATATTTTTTGCGGACACCTTAGGTAATACATACAAATACAAAAAAGTCAATCTCTTGTGAAAATTCGGGAGATTTGGGGTTGTAAGAGTGTTTTGAAAACTATGAAATTCATATATGCAGAAATACTATCAATGCTGGAAGCTCATATTACAATGAATAATTTGGGATGAGGCATTATTGGTTAATCAATTTCAAAATCTTTTGTTTTAAGAGTCCTGCAGTTAATCAAAATTCCGCCATTTAGCTTTTTTTTTCAAATTCTAGCAAGTAAAATGGACTACTACTTAAGGCAAGTCATGTTTTATCAAATGAATTTTCTTCTCGCAATATATCGTCTTTCCCGTTACCTTAATTTGATGTCTGGATAATAAAACATTATTCAGGGCTGTTTTTAACAGAATGATTACAGACAAAGTCCTTCTTTAACACTTAAACATATGATAATATACTGAAAAAACCGAAAATCATAAGAAATATTTTTTATAAACATTATGAAACAAACAATTGCAATACAAGTAAAATTTTCATAATGAAACTAAACCATTTCTTTTAATCGATCACAATAGTCTTCATACTGCTTCGTTTTCTCAGAGCTTTATCACTTGAACCGTTCTGTCTAAGTAAGAAATACCTATTTATCAAATTATTGAGATTGCAACATAGCGAAGAGGCATAATCTTTACCTCTAATACTTATCTCACATTCACATTCCAATATATGTGTACGTTCTACACAACATACCTTGATTTGCGGCGGTAATTAGGACAAAAATAAGTAACGAAAAATATGGAATTCATAAAGAGACAATTAGTAGTAATTTTTCCATTAAACGGTCATATAAAAACATCAATTTATGGCCGAGGAAAATTAAACAATTGAAAATAGCAGTTCAATAAGAAGCCTAAAAAACAAAAATATCTCATATCAACCGTTAAAAAAAGAGTTCCAAGTGTTATCACTGATCATACCATTAGTTAAATGAGCACCAACCTGCTATTGGCCCTTTTCTTCCTCCGCATGATATTTCCTGTTTTTTCCTTCCTGGCCATTAAATAACGATGTATTTCCTCCCAACGTTTATGCCAATAACGTTTCTCTTCAATAAACACTTTTAACTCGTCCTTGCTGCAATCTTCAGAAGAATAGATGGCGCTGTTTCCAAATTTCCAATTTTTTAAGAGCGACAAACTTTTAGTTTGAAAATCAAGATTTCTTCTGAATGATAACGCAATATACTCTCTCAATTCCAACTTCCAAACAAGCGCTTATGAAAGTAAATCTTCCTATTATATAAGATTGCAATCAGGTGATGATCAAAAATGGAAGTGAGGGAAAAAATACAACTGAGGAGCCTTCAAGGATAAAAGACTACCAATAGAGATTACAGGAGAATCTCAAACAGTAAGTTCACTGAATCAATTAACTCAATTAGACCTTTTTGGAGATTGTTTGGTGTCAAGACTACCAAATTCCACAATTCGATCATCTATTAACATTAACGATCCTCAACTATATTCATGAACATACCATAATGACGGAAAAATGTAAAAATATATACTGAATTTTAAAAATTTGTAATTCCATACCTTTTTCCAAATTCTTCCACGTCATCATGCTTTAGTTTCCAACTTCGTTCATGTTCATCTACCATTATTCGGTTTAATGTCTTCAAGACGTCATCAAGATCAGAAGTACTTAAACCGAACGCCATTTGCAAATCTAGCCTGAAGACTTCATTTTCAAATTCAAAACCCTAGTTCTCTGAATTAAAGACCTATTTATTTTTAAGCACTGGAGATTTTTTCATCTTCTAGAGATTTTTCGAAACATTTCCCGAGAAAATGTGATTCGTAACTCCCCCAGTATTCCTAATTTTCTCTTCTTTCATTTGAAATATCTAAGCTTATTATTCGTATAATTAAGATTTTGTTCAACTCTGTAAACAAAAAAGATGGGAAAACTAGAAAGGAATTTTTATGGAAAAGATTCCATACGAAGCGTTAATGATAAATTAATGTAGAAAAAAAATCACCTTCTGACAGGTAGATTAGAGCTAAATAGACACAGTATAAGATCACGGGCGTGTTGAAACACTGATGTCTCATCAGGATAAAGTAATTCACTCTTTAGTATCCAAATATTGCATACCAAACGCGCACACTCACGAAAACGTGATATTAGCAAATGCCGAGGAATACATTTCGAAACATACTGCTGTGCTTCGTTCGTCGATATGCATCGCGCTAAATTTCTATACAGGTGTAAAAAGGCTCCATAAGATAATTAATTGCACTATTAAAAAAATTAAAATTTCAAACCTTTTATCATCAGGGCTCGAACTTGCTGAACCTCAGGTAAATGTCGTATGCGTCGAAGTGATATTAATTGGTTGCAGTCGTTCAAATCACTGAATTGAAAAACCTTCATGCATCTAACGACATGCCAATTTCATATCAATTTACCAAAATATTCAAAAATATTTGACTGGATATACCGAAGAACAGTTCAAAAAAAATCAGACTTACAGTGCGTTCATTTTCTCACCAATAATAGCTTCTTGGACTAGCTGTACGGGATCAGGAACTGTGCATGAATCAAGCATTGAAACCGGGATGGAAAGTAAGGATTCGCTATATTTTTTTGATTCTGTATCCTGCAATGAATCAATGAAGAAATTAAAATTTTACGATAAGGGAAACAGAGATAATTTATAAAATAATATTTGAAAAAATATTACACCTTAAGTGAAGTAAGCCAAAAGCGAAAAATCTACAGAATCAGTTATTTCCTAACATAAACATATTAACAAGGTTTTATTTTAGGAAGCAGACAATATTTAAAATATAAATTTTGTTAATGTCCAAAAATGATAAGTAAATTACCGTTACGCAATTAATATTTAGCGGAGTCCAGGGGTCTTGCTCAATAAGACGACTTCGATGAGCTGACGATTGCTCGCGACGCTTTTTTTGTCGTTCAGTTTCGGGTCGTTTAAACCGGACGTGAATCGGTGATGGATTTTTAGAACTTCCCTGCTCCTCTGAATCAGACATATCATCTGAAATCTTTCATTTTATTATTTCTAGATTAATTACATGCTAGGAATTTCGTGAACTTTTTGGTCACCTGAATAGTTTAGAAGCAAGGTATATGTCTTGCTTTGCGTATAAAATATCTTTGCAATATTTTTTTAATGCATAGAAAAGGCGAAATGATTCTCGGTGTTGTAAATTTGAGCTCTTCATCAAAATGTTATATGCCACATCAGAAGTGAAGTTCAAGATGATCAAAGTAAATGGAAGCAAGAAGCAAGATAAAAAATGACTGAGCCATGCATGTATGCATGTATCCTAGCATGTATGCAGTGCGAAAATTAACTTAAAGTCAAAAGTGAACAAAAGGAAGATTCAGAAATAATTTTATATGATAAACACGCAATAAAAAAGTGAGATAATATGATTCCATAAACCAACGCAAAAAACAAAAAATTTAATAAATAACAATTAAAAAAGGGCAAAAACAAAAGTCTCCTACCTTCCGAAGTTTTGGTTGTGCGATTTTTTCCTTGACCATTTAGATAGGATATCGAACGTTTCATATCAAAAGTGCCATTCAAAGGGCATATATACAAACATTCTGCAAAACACAGTTCCAACCTACAATACGTTTTGAAAGTTTGTTTTATATTGAAATAATTAAGAAATATTTTTCTGACAAATCAGCAAGACATGTTGAAATGTGGTAAACATGCATAAATTTTCAATTTAACATTTACATTCATTTTAAAGAACTAACGATTTTTGAAAAAGCCAGCAGCGTAATGAACTGGTCCATCATTTCCAAAGCTCCGTCCAACGTATACTTCTTCGTCCATTATTCGACTAGAACGTTAAATGTACAAATAAATGAAGGAAATCTAATTAAAACTGTGATTAATTCTAACAGTTAATGCCATGGACAGCAGAAATCTGAAATTCAAGATGTGCAGCAAATTTTTGGGAGTCAAGCTACATAATGGTCTGCACTTCTGAAAGATGTGTGAGAGTTGAATTTTTTATAGATAAGTATGGAGAATTTCGAAGTATTTGTTTAAGTCAAAACTGAAAGATCAAGCACTTCATTACATGAAAACAGAAACCGGATGGACCATAAAACTCCAAGGAATAGATTTAAATTTCTCTAAAACATACAAGTTGTCAGTTGCAGATGTTTCGGTATTTGTTCCGGAAATCAATGCAAGATGTTCAGCACGACCTTTATCAAACGAGCTCGACAATTTATCCACTGGCAGTCGTATTTCCAACTATAACTAATATATTATAAAATGATAAACCGAACCTAAACTCTGCGTTTACTAACATGATGTCAGAAACATGTTAATTCGTGGAAAGCATTAGTTTGCTCATTAGCAAGCATCCTCAACAGATTTTTGAAATAAAAAAATTTTGACATAAGCTGAGTAAATTTATTACCATTTTGACATTTTTTTTGTAACGTGCTTTGGTGACACCACAACCAAATGGATTTACTTTGCGTATAGGATACTGAATACGGTAGAGTTCGCTACAGCCGGGGTTTCGAGAAAGTATTACATCAATCTATAATAGGAATAAAGTTTAGAGCGAATTTCAATGGCATAAAATAATATTAATGTATGCTGCAAGGGTGGGTGATGTCGTGGAATCAACACTAATTCAAGATAACCTTTAGCTGTACTGAAAGTAAACAAGAATAACGGCTATTCCGCTGCTAGTATTACCAAAAATTTAACAATCTATGTGATTTGTTAATGACAATAGCTGTCAATACATGCATTTGGCGAATATGAATTATACATGAACTGATCACTTTTTCACGAGGAAGAAAGTTAACTTAAAGAGTAATACATTTCATGGGTTGAAATTGTGTCATAAATAAATGAGCTAAAATTAGCTCATTAAATCAACGATTTTACATAAGCAAAGATGAACTTGAAGCATTAAATCTTTGAAGCAAATTAAATTAAATCAATATCTATCTCCTCCTCTCCGATCTACAATAATATTTATTAGTGAAGAGATTAGAGAATATGAGAAGCGCAATAAATTCATTATAAGCCTACACAATATTTTGACTCACTGATATCATCCAATTCTTATTTCACTTTTATGATAAAGAGATGTAATTGGAAGGCAAAGAATACACAAATATATAAGAAATCATTATTCGAAGCAAATAATAGAAATCAATCACAACTTGAGGAATGGCACTTATTTGAAACTTAATCGGAAAGGCTTAGTAAATAATGCTGTTACTTGGTAAATAATTACTCCCAAGCCACACAGTGAAATTTCGAATAACATTACCGATCTAACCCCCGTCGAATAGCGAAAAAATTGAAAAGGAAAAGAACTAACTTCTGTGATGATATCGTCACTTTCTCCAATTTCGCACATATCTCCAATTACTTCGTCCTTCGTAACCTAAAACACACCATAAACCAGGTTACATTGTAGGTGTCACTCGAATGTGAGCTACCTAATCGCTTACCGGGTAATTTCGCAATTTGTCTGTCATATTCTGAGAGAGAATATTTTCTGAAGATTCGGGATGGTTAGGATGCAGAGGAATGGTGTCGCTGCTAGAAAGAAAGAGTAAAAAAGCTTTTTGATTTTAGAAATTGCAAGGGTTGTTGCAAAAGTTCAGCTATATGTTACAATGATAAGAAAATGTTAGAGGATGAGAAAGAGAGAAAGGAGAGGAAAGATGAATTAGCATTGAGATCGAGGAGAGCAGAAGTTGGTAGTACGGCATAAATCGCAAGACAGCACCGTTTGTGCGTCGGGATTGTAATTTCCGCGGCGAGTTAGAGTCTGAAGAATTTGGCTGTTTGTGAATCGGTGAATTAAGGTTTACTGGGCCTAGTTATTTTTTATCTTACATTAAAATCTACGGCTTTTTCTTCACATCTTGAAGATCGGAGATGTTAGTAAAGTCGTCTTTGTATCGGGGAGATGTTAGAACACTATTTCGTTATATATCTGCCGAATATCAGTTTTCAGTTCTAGCCATATATTTAGTGGAACTTCAAAGTTCCGATTATTTATGAGCTATTAATCTTTTGGAATAATGAGATGTAATACTGACCAGCTTTTTATTGGGATAGCAGAATTCAGATCTGGTTAGTTACCTGCTAGAATGTGTCAGCTTCCTAGTTAGTTACCTGCTAGAATGTGCCAGCAAAGCTAAAAAAATTTTCAATACGTTTTTAGCTGAACACTTCTCGTTGAAATTTAGAAAATCTTAGCGATTGCAAGCAAAAAAAAATAGTAAAACTGAACTTTATTGCACTACTACCAAATTTCTTGATGTGATTGATCATCTCAGATATTGTGTTAAATCAATCGTTTATTCAAACTTGTGGGCAAAATCATAAAATTATTTTGTCCTTTGCAAAATAAAGAAAAATATGTCTGAATCCTCATATATACATACATGTATCATCGGTAAAATGATAAATCAACTTTGTCTTGTCAATAATACTAAACATCTTTAATATTATTGATAATACCAAATACTTAATCGAAATTACAGTAAGAATATATATAAGAATTTTCTTTTTATTCAATTTCAAGGTTTACTATAAAATTCTACATAACATTTTTGAACTACTTAAAAGCTTTCTAAAACTTTCAAAAAGATTTTTGAAGATTTAAAATTTGCATAAAAAATTTTAGAGCTTAAAAGGTATAAAACGGTGAATAGAATGGAAGAGGTGGTAGTGGTGGTACTGCATAAAGTGTTGAAGATAGTTAAACAATTTTTGCGAAACAATGCTGCGATGTTTTTGGGCATTACTTATGTTATCTTGTTTCGAAATGAATTCGGCGCGCTTACCAATTCATGTCAGATTTATACGCTGATATTATAAGTATTTAATAAAATGATGTATAGCTGGAAGGGTAATAAATATTCAAGAGGCAGAGACCACATATTCATTTATGTGATAACAAATATCTCCATGAAAATAATATATGTTTAATAATAAGATTAATTAGTGTATAAATATAACTGTTGAGTGTATTGAAATAAAAGTTAATCGTTCCAGAGAGATTGTGTGGAATATGTAAAGAATCATACCATTTGTACAACACTAAAAGCTTGCAGAACTTCAGAGGTTTGAATGTAATGATGGCTATTGATGTATCGTTTCTAAAAAAATAAATTGAATATTTCTGATAGAATTGCTAGAAAAAAAACACTTATTTTTAATTTTAATTTATTGAAACATTCAAAATTCTCACTTTGATCGATTCCAAAATTATAAAGTTTTCACAAAACAAATAATTGATTACATTAGTTGATAATTTTTTGCTTTTCTTTCCTTTCATTTTTAAACTTTTGCAATTTGAGATTTTGTAAAGTTTTATTAATCAATATATACTAGCTATACTATTATTACCAGTTAAGGAAATGCAAAAAACATATTATTCCAGTTTTTCCATAAAATGATCACTTTCTTACTAGCAATATTAATAGTTACGAAATATATTGATTTCGTTGTTTCGCTTTCAAATATAAAAATTTAATCAATATAATTTATGTTTGCTTACAAGTGCAATATATTCCAAATTTCTGCAGCTAATGGAAAACTTAATTTGCAGTTATATCACATAGTTGCAGTACTGTATCAGATCATCATTATCACTGTGCTAATCTTTTAAGTATTGTTCCTATTTTGCAGCAAATTGCTTAATTTTCTTAATATTCTGATAAGTTTTGCAGTGTGATTCACATAGTTGTGAAAAGATCTCAACCATTCATTTCCGTAATATTGCTGTAATCCTCAACAAACGCCTTCGTAAAAAACCAAGTTTAAAAAGACAACTCAATCCATTATTGCACGATCCTTTAAAAACATCAATTTTTACAGTTAGTAAAAGTCTCTTCTAAATCTTTTACATTCAATTCCTTCTTAATCAGTATTCGAAATGTTTACAATCAATAAAAATTTTAAAATTTATACAATTAAGAATTTACAGCGACGACCCTCAGGTGCATATTGTGGTCATGAAAAGGAATTGTTGCGAAATGTAAAAATTAAAGTAATGGTATCAGAAGGAATATTTCAACAATTGTTACGAAAAGCATCCATTACACAACAACGATATTTATATGCCCGAGATGATTGCTTAAATAAATGTCATATAATGGGAATTGATTTGAATTGTGAATTGGTACCAGATGGTGATATGGAAGTAATTAAAACGGCTGCTTTCAAACATTTGCAACATATGATATTCTATCAATGTGGCGAGTTAGGATAATTACAAAAATATTTTCATTGATAATTTTATAATTTATACTTCTAAAAGAAAAGAAAAACTTTACTACCGGAAAAAAAGTTCTTTTTAGTATATTAATTAATAATAATATTTAAGAAAATTTCTTTCAGATCTTTTGTTTTTTATATATCATATTTAACTGACTATATTGTTGCAAGATTTTCATCAGATTTCAAAACTCTCTATAGCTAATCATAATTTTAAAAAAAGATTAGATTCCCAATGTTACTGATAATTACGGTGATTCTGATAATAATACTTACGATTGTTACAATATTGGAAATAGCGATGGGTATAACAAGGATTCGTGCGGCAAAGAGAAGAAGCAGACAGGAGAAACAGGATGATGAACTGACGACAGACAGTTGGTTTATCCATGCCACTTTTTTTTGTAAAACTTCAAATTTTTTATTTGAAATCCGATGAAATTCTATTTTAAATTATCAAAGAAAACAGAATGATAGTAGATTTGAAATTTATGAGTAAAATTGAATTCGTTTTAAATAGTGAGTGAATGATGCTATCTGTAGGATAATAAATATAGAATGAATAAATTGGTGGGTGTAAACGATTCAAATTTTAATTCGTCATAGGATTTTACTTGTCTATTTTCAGCATCATCTATGCGTAGGACACAATAAGTCAATCTGTCAGCAATAAAAACATAAATTTGGACAAAGCACAAAGTGGTAAAGGTTTTGGAAAACACGGATAATTGAAAATTAAAATTTTAATAATAAAAGCATCCATGAAGTTTGATTTCTTATTTCAGAAGTATCGAATTAATGGATTTGATAATTACATTCAACAATTTTTCAAATAATTGTGCTCAATTTTTTGCAGTTTTGGATCGTTTCACTGTAATTTAATTAAAAAAATAAAAATCGATTTTGTAAAATCAAAATTCATTATCATAAATTCTTGGGAAAATCAAAAGTTGGCGAATATAGAAGACATATTTTCATCATTACTTTATGGGTAAATATTCGATACAAAATACGGCTGCAGCTACAACTACGGTTACAGCTACAATCGCAATCGTGGTAACAGCTGCAGCTACTGTCAGTTACTGTTACAACCGAAACCAGATACGACTGCAGCTATGACTGTTACTGCAGTTATAGCTATAGCTGTAGCTGTAGCTGCCAGTTATACAAACTGCAAATGCATGGTAATGCAATCTATCGATTATTAATATCCTCTTGAGGTTAGATTTCATTTTCAGGAGGTTCATTTTAACGGAAAAAAATCAGATTTTTTTTCCAATTTTTTGTTAAATCTTTTCCTTCTAAAAACAAAAGTATTTTTTGACGGTCTAAATTGGGACACTTTCTCAGCCGCTATCCGAGTTTCATATGTGGCACCACAGTGGATGCGCTGTTATTGGAATGTGTGATCCATTGACCAGTCAACTTGTCTATGTAACTGTATACAGATGGTCAAGCTTATATTAACCATGGAAACATATGCTGTCAACATTAAGTGGATGGGGATTTAAACTTACTTTCCATGGAATAGAAAGAAGATCAAAATTTGAACACATCCTTTCTGCTTGCTTATTATCTCTGATATGATCCGAATGTGTAACGTAGGAACGATGTAATGAAATTAATAATTTAATTATATTTCCAACTGTTTCCTAACGAAAGCAAGTTGGCAGGAAAGGTCAATTTAACTATAAATTTTCTTAGTAAGGCAAACATATTATATAAACAACATTTATTTGTAAGCTTTTAAATAAATTTGAATTGGCATAAAATTTAAAGCAATTATTGAAATTAATTTTTACTATAATTTTGAAGAATTCCCATTTTCTTTTTACATTTTAATGGAATCAATTGAAATTTTGTAATTTGAAACGTAAGTCTAAATTTATTGGATGAATAGTTGAAATTCAAGCATAAAATAATTTCTAAAACAACTGCTAATTAATAAACTAAATTTTCATTTGTTGAATGAAATAAAAATGATGTTAATGTAAGTAAAAGAATATCGACGACGAATGGATTAAAAGAAATGATTCCTTAATCTTTGTGCCATTTTTAAATTAAATAGCATAGTTCAAATTAAATCGTCTACGAAAAAAAAATATATCCTACGAAAATTTCTAATAATATTATGCAAATTTAAAACAAAAATCTCATAGTAATATCTTTTAAAATATATTTTAATCTTGCATACATACATATTATTTGATTTATTCGCCTAAATTTAATAATTTCTAAAAAATTATTACAAATATAAAAATTTAACTTTAAAAAATTCATTCTCTCTTATCAGTAATTTTGTAATAAAAGAAAAAAGCGTAATTTTTTTAATCTGCTGATAGCAAATATTATTGGAAGAAATATAATTTTGCTTAATTCATGCTAATCTAAGCGCTCGTGGCTCGAAGTAAGCCTATCGTACCTTATAGCTGTTGCACAAATTAAAACTTATGGGACTAATTAATTAATTAGTGACGATTCCGATTTAATTTTTCGTCAGTATCCGGAGACATATTTAGACGTTTCATGTCTTCAGCTAACTGATTAATTAATAGCGATCCCGATTTGTCAGATAATGGTTGAATATCTGAAGTTGACGCTATTGCAAACCATGCAATAATCAACTATGATAACAATGCAGTACCATGATCCTTTCATGACATATTTCAGCCAATCTTTGAAGTTAAGTGGGAATGATTGAGCAATGATTCATTGAAGTTGACCGTTTTTATCTTTTAAACTTCAGATTAAACAATGATTTGCATAGAAGAATTTTAAATTATTTAAGATAGTGAAGAGGTCGTGGATTCCTAAAACTAATTTTCTCCACAATATCCCATCGACATGTAATATCCCATCGAAGCAAAAAAGATGCTTCACTTTTAGTACTTCTGGACTATTCTGTGAACTAAGCTTGTTAACAATTTTTATTATTTAAGGAATGCCGACATTTTGTTTTATATCATCAGATGATAATTTCTTGATATTCAGTCAAACTTTAAATTATTACTCAATCTGATGAACTACCCAAAAATCAGTTAAATAAATTTCAAACACTAAGAACAAATAAATTAATAAAATGATCATAACGAACCAGGTACGACCGGTGCTGCACATCTACAGCTACAGCAACTGCAGTTGCACGGCTACGGATACAACCACAGATACAGCTACAATCGCTGCTGCAGTTGCATCGACTGGCAGCAACAACGGCGTCGCCCACGACTGTCGCTATGGCTCGGCATTATATCACAAAGCTATGAAGTACGGTATGCCTACTGTGAGCCGCGATCGGTCAGGTTAGTATGAATTAAGCAGAACTATATTCTTCCGTAACATTTTGCTATCAATAATGAGCAGATTAAAAAAACTACGCTTTTTTTCTTTTATTAAGAGATTACTGATAAGAGAAGATGAATAGATGATGGATAATATATATATAAAGTATAGTGAAAAAATCCACCTAATGTTGACAGCATATGTCTCTACGGTCAGTATAAGCTTGACTATGTGACTACAATTACATGAACAAATTGACTGGTCAGTGGATCACACGTTCCAATAAAGGCGCATCCATTGTGGTGCCACATATGAAACTCGGATAGCGGCTGAGAAAGTGTCCCAATTTAGACCGTCAAGAAATACTTTTGTTTTTAGAAGGAAAAGATTTAACAAAAAATTGGAAAAAAAATCTGATTTTTTTCCGTTAAAATGAACCTCCTGAAAATGAAATCTAACCTCAAGAGGATATTAATAATCGATAGATTGCATTACCATGCATTTGTAGTTTGCATAACTGGCAGCTACAGCTACAAGTACAGCTATAGTTATGACTTTAATCATTAGTAAAAATTAAATCCAAAAATGAAAAATACAAAATAAAAGGAAAGAATTGGTTTTGATTACAAGAAGACAAATTTAAGTTACAAAAATTTTGAACTCGTAACTTATAAAAGAAAGTTGAAACTTAAAGTTGCAATTTTGATGAGAATATGAATACCCTTTTCTTCTTACTAATTTGCATAAAAGTATGCAAAAATGCTAGCCTTAAAGAATAATCCAACAAACGCATTCACTCATTCTATTCGACTTCTCTGTGGTATTCTGTAACGGTTGCTTCATTTTGTGTCTGAAGTCGCAATAGACCTTTCTGTTAACTTTTTCTCTCGAAAAAACTTTCTATTTAACAGTTGAAAATTATTTTATAATTACGAATCGATACGTGAATGAAATCATTTTGTTCCGTAAAATTTCCGTCTTTTACGCCTATTTTACGTTTTCTTTTATTGCTTTGTTTCTCTAATAATCTCAAATTCTCTAATAATTTCAATACAATCAATAATTACAGAAAAGTATTGGTTTGGTATTAACTTTAGTTCACTTTTATCAAACAAAATTAAGAATGTCTCAACAAAATGATTATCGATTGACGTGGAATCCAAATAAATTCCATTTGCTTTCTCATCAAGCTAAGGTGTCAGCTTTTTCATTTATTTATGTAAATTTAAAATATATTTGTCGAAACTAAGATTACTAATGGAAAAATAATTATTTCATTTTTCGAACAAAAAAATTAGCAATAATTTTTATTATTCAAAAAGAAATTTTAATTTAAATAAAGAATATAATAAATGGAAGTATTGATATATAATAAAATTTTTTCCTTAAGCTATCTCATTATTTGGATCAAATTCAAACATCAAATGAGAGACCACAACCGGATATTTCTGTTACGGTATTTTTCAAGATATATAAGATATTTTGAATTTTAGATGACTATTGAAAATTGATAATTGATAAGGTTTTCGTGCTATTGGAATGCCATTGATATATAATTTAGATTAAATTTATTGTTAACTATTTGATAACAAATTTTTGTCTAAAATTTATTTGTGCTTAAATACAAAGGAGGAATTGAATTTAAAAAAGTTAACTGATATAGATCATAAATTTTACATAATGCAAATTTTATAATTATTATAGCTATGAAATGATAGAAAAGATATGATATGATTAATTGTACTTCTTTTTTCAGCTTAATGATAACACTACGATAATGCTTCATTCTGAAATAGCCCTAGCTCATTCCGGATATTTCCGTCGACAGTATTCAAGTGAAATGAAAACGCAAAACAGACCGGCAACATTAAACATTAACTATCTTACAAATTATGATGCTAATGCTGTTCGACGGATGATTAATTTCCTTTATACTGGTATCCTACCATGCTCATTGGCCGAAATTCCGGAACTCCTAGCTTTATGCTGCAAACTTCAGGTAATGATAAATTATATGATAGGTTGAAAATTTTTTCATCAATCTCTAATTTGATGATAGGATAAGTAAGTGTAAAAAATTCAAAATTTGAATAAACTATGTAAATTTGCAAAGCATTTTTTATTACAAAAATAAATAAATTGCTCATTTTTAAATTAAAATCTGTTGTAATTACATGATAATGAAAAATGTTTATTTTAATAGGTACCATCAATGAGATCAATAATTGAGAAATTTATTATTCAAAAAGCAGCTGAATATAATTCTCTATTGGATTGTTGGAATATTAGCTGTCATCGACAATCTGATTTATCACTTCGAACAAAAGATTTCGTACTCAATTATGTGATGCGATCTTTGGAAAAGGTATATATTTAATCTATTTCAAATATTCTAAGATCTCGAAAATTTTAACTTGATCGGAATTAACCAATAATGAAGTTCAGTTATTGATTAATTCACTTTAATCTTCCAAAATTATTGCTTAGTGTAATTCATTTTTTTTCCTTCTCTTGCCACTCCTGTTTCATCGTAGGCAGTTTTGGATGTACGGTTCTCACAACTGGATCAGGGAGCTGTGGAAGCATTGTTGAAGCGTGACAGCCTACCGGTTCGTTCAGAATGTGATGTGTTACGTATTGCTTTGATGTATTATTTTCGGCGAGATGGACAAGATGTAAATATGCAAAGTTTACTAAACGTTGTTCGATATAACTGTGGTAATGAAACACTGATACGGGTGAGTGATAAAATGAGATGAAACATTTTAAATTACTAATGCTTATTGATAGTTTATATGATTAATAGCAAATATAAGCTTTGCAGAGTTACAAAAAGTCTTCCCGAAATGCTTCTTTACACTTAGTTTATGTTTCCAAAAAATTTAAAATTACTCATTTGTTATAACTTCAGATGCGTCAAGATATTCTATGTGTAAATGATGAAGAGCTGCGCTTTTGTTTCGAACAGAATTGCGCTTATGGATTGTGGCAAACTGAGTGTCATTTATACGATCCGAATATATGGCCCAAACCCGAAATATTACCAGTGCGTGGAAAACCAAATGCTGATTGTGATTGGATTAATGTACACTTCTACAGTTTGGTATGTTTTCTCATAATTTATTTTCATTGATTAAATTTTTAAATTTTCGAAATTTTCTTGAACTCAAATTTACTGATTTCTAGCTTCAACCTATCACCGAACCTTATCGATAAATCTGATTTGATTTATGCGGAGTAGTATTCTTTCCAAATAGAAGAATCAAATTGCAAATCTTATTACATGTATCCTCCAATTAAATATTTTTGTGTTTTAATTTTGAATTAAATTCATAGCTTTTTTACGGTGTTATTTTATGCAGAAAACAAAACAATCAGTGTTGACAATTAAATGAATTGTGAAACTCAGGATCTTATAGTTCGAATTCAAAATTATAGAGTATCGGTCTAACCCATCAATCATAGAAACATGGAGTTGCGAATGAAATCTGGAATAATATGCTAAGCTAAGAGAATAAAGATCAACACAAGGACTCTAATCCAAAACTTTAGCAGGACTATCAATTTTGATAATATTTGCATTTAGAATTAATTCAATTTATGATGTTCAAAAACTGAAAAAAGTTTATTCGGAAAATTTTCAAGCATTAACAAAACTAATGCAAGGAGGAAAATATAACTCAGCATAAAAACAAGAAAGAAGTTCTTGGAGATAACGATCTTTCCTGTGCGAATGATTTAATCATACCAAGTTCCATTGAAAAGCACCATCTGGCAACGGTTTCGGAATGAAGAAAAAGACAACAAAACAAAATTGAAAATTCCTAAAAAGCACAGAACATCTCAGATATGTTTGAATGAGGATATGCATCCAACAATAAAAACACAGCGATCAAATATTCGCGCAAAGTTTACAATTAAAAACCAGCCAAAAAAATAGCAATTCTGATGCGTCATTTTTCCGCATATATTCACTTGTTGAACAAACGTTGCGTTCTTTTTATTGCCTAACAATACCACCTTGATTCTGTCCTCCTATTTCAAGACTTTTTACTTCTACCTTTTTTCATAAAACTGTTTATAGTACTGGCGGAAAACGGGATGATAAAATGGTCTTACAATATCATGAGAATAATGGAAAAAGCAACTGAAAGCTATTTCTTGGAAATAAATTCAATTCACAGAAAGGAAAAGAAAATTGAAATAAAAGCAGAAAGACAATGGGACTTATACATTGTGATGGTGTACAGAGATCACAAAACTTTCTCAAATATGATATAGTGATAGCTGTTGTAAACCTTCATTCAATTTCCAACGTTGCTTGAAGACCATCAAAAAATCTAGCTTTTTGATCAGAACGAATCATCACCACTTAAAAAGTAGACTAATTTGAAGGAAAGGAAAAATCTTTAATTTCCATCTATATTACTTAAGATAATAACATAATAAATTGGTAAGAAGTAATAAAGCATTATGTTTTTAGTAGATACAAATATGTTTCAAATAAAAAACAGATGAAGTAAAGATGAAATAATAGTACGAAAATTTCGCTTACTTGCAGAGTCGAAAAAATCTCGTCGAGCTCCGTCACGCATAAAATTTTCCACTACTTTTTGCATTGCACGTCCAATAAAACTGAAAATATTCTCAAATGCAAATCCTTTTCTGCATCTCATATGTTTACGGTGACCAGTGTCGACTGCTACTTACAACAAACACCGACTCAATAAATGTTAGTAATCAGAGACCAAAAATTGGCCTCTAATAACTACTTCAAATCTGCTAAGATTTTTCTTTTTTACATTTCAGTAACATGCTAGCACGTTCAAATCATAATTTCGGAATAATAACAGTTGAAAAGCAACAAAATTTGCAAATGGAGAATGATGACCTTTTTTGATTGCTGTCTTCATAATCAGTATTTGCAGGCATAGAGCCGGTTATCAGAAACCAACCAATATTTTCACCACTCATAGGTACAGCAACAAATAATGGTCGATTGGCGCGATTTTTTGAGTGACTCTAGAAGTTTTGATGAAGATCCAACAAAGATCTAATTCAATTCAGAAAAAAGAAAACTGACTTAAATTTGGTGAATAATTTTGTAAATGGATAATTGAAGACAGCCAACAGTATTTCAACCACTTCCCACCAGTATTTGGTCAGCTCAACTGATTTACAGAAAATTTTCTTTTGGGAGGCTGAGCCATCTACTAAATGACTTTGCAATCGCTAGAATATTAAAAAATTCCAATACCATTGAACAGACAATTGTGAAAAGTATATATAGGCTAAACAAATTGAAAAATACGTTTTTTTTTTTAAATCAAAAAATAGTTTATGGAACTAAAGAACCACTACCTCAATCTTGCAGACTATAACTCAAAAAAACTCAAAAATACTGCAGAAAATCTTACTGAAACAGTGAATGCTCGAAGAACATAGTGAACAAATATATAGAGGAAATGTCTGCAATGCAAAATACGTGCTTCGTCTTCCTGAAGGATACAAGCATTAATTTTAGTAACAAGATTTCAAAATGAATGATTAGACAAAGAAACTTGAATAGTCAGATTAGACTTATTCATTACAAACTTGAATCCTTTTGTGTAAAAATATATCAGCTTATATGATACCTGAGGAAGGCAGAGAAGATAGAAAGATCCAACAGAAACAACAAGGCTTTGACTGATTGACATAAAAACGAGATTTACAAGGTTAGTTAAACAACTTTTATACGACTCAATCGCTTTCGATAGCGGTGTTTTATCTCCTCCTGAAAGAAACAGTAATTTGATAGTTTCATTAATCACTAAAAAACCAAGCACACAACACAACACTATCATCAACAATTTGAAATTGCAAACCTTAATTATAGATTCGATTCACTCATAACTTATATCGTCTATAAAGTCTTCTGGATCGTCTATAAAGTCAGTTCGAAAAGAAAAAAAAACCTTCTACGAATTTCTGTAAGATTTCTTGTGCACCAATAAAACGATCGTAAGGCGATTCAACTTCAACGACTCCATAACTTATACGTCCAGCAATGGCACGTGCAAAATCACACGAATTATATCTAAAATCTTCATAATTTTTTTGAGCATGTATAATTTTCTGGACCTTTTATAAAATGCCAGAATTTATAGCAATTTATTCTGCAGATTAAGAATACTAGATTCTAACGTCATAGTTTGAAACTTTCAAATTTAGACCCTTCAACTTATTCAGTCAGTACCTCACAAATAGTATATAGTGGTACTAAACTCATTTTAGTATCTCTATAAATCACTTAAATAAAACCGAGATATTTTTAGGTATTTACAATAAATATGAAACTCAACAAACCAGAAACAACTGACATTTAACCTCTCCGATGCCTTTTAATGATATTTGGGTGTTTTCGACTAATACAATACATAATAATCAAGTGAATATTTTATTAGAAAATGAAGTGTAATATGCAAACCACTTTTTTGTTGTTGCAAATGCAACTCAACAAATTTACAACATTACGTTCAGTTTAAATTCTTACTTGCTACTGTATCCGATACGAGCCGTAAAAGATGCAAATTCATCATCCATGTGTTTATATATGTGACGAAATATGGCATCCTTTCTTTCCGATGTTAGTGCACTGTACACTTGATGGCTTTCTTCTAACGTTATCCTGAAAATTAATAAATTTAGCAGAAATGTGCTCTTTAGACAAAAATAATTATTAATAAGACTGTTAAGCTAACTAAACAACTGCAGCATCTCTGAACATATAAAAAAGAATAGGATGGATTTGATGATAATAAAACTCAAATTTATATCAAATAAAACTATCTGCACCGCTTATCAACTTTCAATTTTAATGTAATACCTTCGCTGTAAGTATCGCTTCTCCAGAGACTGCTTTTCTTCAAATGAACAATACTTGAAATATCTGATAATATCCTTACAAATACAAACACGTAGAAAAAAATGCAATTTACTTACTCAAGTTCAGCCAGTAATGCCTTCATTATGAGAGCACCACTTTGCTGCCACATTTGTGTTAAACAAAAGAAAAAATCGTTATGCACCATGCTTGTGTATAATGACCAATGCGTATACAGCGGTAACATTATCCTAAAATTATACCTTGCCAAATCAATAATAGAGACAAGACCAATTATAATTTCTACAAAGACAAAAAATTAACACTTTCGTAAAGAAATCATGATTTATCTTCGTTGTCTCCATATACACTTAATTAAAAACTTTCCATTTACTATAATAACTATGTGCAAAATAAAATATTTTTTAATGCTAAAGAAAGCAAAACACAGTGTAATGCAGTACAGATTGATTTAATATCTGAAATTAATCTCGAACTCGTCCTTTAAATACATCATTAGTGAATGATGATGTATGTAGGATTGAGAAATGAGGTTAGGAAAAAGTTTCTGAGTTAAAGTAATGAAAAGGAGACAATATTTTTTGCTTAATATTTTATACTGATATTATGCAAAGGAGGAATTAACATACTCATCATCGAACTTCAGTCGAAGGATATCATCACCTCGTACAATATCCGACCCATCCGGACAAAATTTCATCCTGAATGTCCTTAAACGGTCGAAACAAACAGTCGTGTAGCAATCATGACTTATTAAATACTCCACTAGCTGACTACTTATTCCAACTACAGCTGACCACATCATTTCGACTGTAGTTCGACCCACGGAATGCGCTACTTCCAACATCAACACAGCACTCTAAAAATAATCAATGTATTGCAGAACCAATGACTATAAATTAATACAAATCCATTCCATTTTTATAAGATCTTAAATAAGTTCATAAATTTCAATTTTGAAAAGTTGTGGCCTTAAAATTCCAACTTTGGTCAGTGCATATACAGACTAAAAAGCAATAGTAAATGATAAAATATAAGAATTTCAGACTTTCCACTTACTAATTCGCAAAAAATAAAGTGTGCAAATATGAAAAAATTAATGCAAAAAAGTCTAAAATAAAAATTTGAAAGCAGAAAAAAAACGAACCGATGGGCCATACCAGGAATTCTCGTGATATTTCCACAAAATATCTTCACGATGTCTTTTAAGTTCCATCCGTCGTCGCCTTTTCGCTTCTCGTCTTCCAATAGAATTTGCAACATCACTGATCCGTCTTCTGCGCCTACTAGTAGATTCTTCTGGTTGTTCTGTATCGTCAGCTTGCTCCGTATCACTTTTTTCCAATTCATTTTCCTCATCACTCGAACTTCTTGCAATTTCTAGCTGTTCACTTGTAGACGCTAAAAATTCGTGAAATTCAAGTCGATAAATATATGGATAAATACTAAAACATCGCAAATATTGAACAACTAATAAACTTTTAGTCAAAATATCAGAAAAGCAAAGTTTAAGTAAATTATCTTAAAGAATCCAAAAATTCAAATAAAAATTTATTACTTCGAGTTTCGCTCACTTCATCGTCTTCCACTTGTTCTGCCTTTTCGAGAAAATCCTGGTCATTACTTGAATGGATCTCAGCTTCATCTTCATCTTCACTTTCCTCAGAAGATGAACTATCTGAGACTTCGATATCACAGATGTTCGGGATGTCCAATTGCTCCCACTCATCCCTGCTCACAATCAGGCGGATACTATCCTCATAATACACCTATAAGATTATCTCACAAGTGAAGGAACTATCGATACATTCATTATTATAGGTGGATAGAAAGCACAGCTCTTGCAGCCATTCTTAATCAGAATTATGTCACAGCTTAAGAGAATTCTAGCAAAAGAAATATTTCATTTTCTTATGATTTTTATGAGTCTTTGCAAACCAGGTTTCTTAAGTATGAAAGTTTTTATAAAGCACATTCTAAAGGAATGGAACAATTCAATTTCTTCCTATTTCACTTGAACAAAACAGAAATAACTAATATTTCTTCAACCACAACAACCGCTACTATTTCCATTTTCTCAACAACTTCCCATCGTGATTTTTAAACAAACTTACATTCGATAAGTCCAAGGGTCGTCTAGAATCAATCACGTACAATGTCATACCAGATCGAAGGTATGAAATCAGTGGCTCTGTAGCACCGCAATTGAACAGCACAACCGAATGTGCCTGCTCCCCATGTTCTATCATTGCTGTCCGAAAACCTTCCCATCCATCTACTGGCACCAGTGTATAGGCAATATCATCTGTCGCAAATAAGTCCTAGGATTTTTATTGATTTAAAGGTGCCACTTAGTAAATATGGATGTGAATTACCAATATTTTGAATTCAAATCTCACAACTTTGAACTGATAATTAATTGTATGTCCAATCAGTGCTCCCATATAAATGTTTGAAATGCCAAGTCTACTTTTATCGTTGAAGCAGTGAGAATGTCTCAATATTTTCAAACTTATTTCAAGCATATGACTTCCTCAGGTATTCTAGAATATTTGTTTTCTTTTTTCATAAATTTATATAATTGTACTTAATTCTGTGTCATATTTGTAAAATAGAATTAATCTTATAGTTTCTCGGCATCACACATATCTAAGGTCACTAAAAGTAACAAAGCAATCATGCGATTATTGGTGATTATTCTTCACATAAAATTAATTCTCAAAATTATATTTGGTTTTTTGCATTAGTAAATAAAAATCAACCAATTACTTACCAGTAATATCTGTGTAGCGCAAACAGCATCAGCATCAACATTTGCTATAATTAGTACGTGCTGGAAGAAAGTATTATTTAGACATAAAAGTGTTACGCAGGTATCACTACAATATCTAATTGATATCTCTATTGCTTGAAAGTACTAATATTTCTGCAAAATCCCAAAATTTGAACCTGCAAAAAAATTGCTGCATAACTTCATCTTGGTTTTTTTGTAAGGTTACTAAACTTTTGTAATGTTGCATATATTCTTGCAGAACGTAGATATATTTGAGCTTATTGAGTTTCACTTTATTCTCTCTCTTTCTTCGTATTTTTTGTCTTTTCTTTTACCAGATTTGCCTTCTGTTTTACTAAGATAAGAAGTATATAATAAGAAAAACAAAAAAGAAACCAACATCTCTCTTAATCATCTCATAGAAAAATTGCCTAAAATTTTCGTATACGATCATATTCAAACAATATCACGATAAGTACTCCCAATTACAATTAGTCTGAAAATACAGAAAAAAATTACATTCAATAATCTAAGCAATTGTAGTCTATCGTATACACGCTGAATGAAATGATATATTCTAATTCGAACAGTATAGATATGTTATGGATGAATTAAATAAACATAAAAAGACAGAAAAAATTTTTGAGCAGATAAGAAAAAATATGGGCAATGAAACCTAACGTTTCATGGATGGTTTGAAAATATTATATTTATAAAAATTTTAAAAACTTTTCAACTATAATTAAAACTTATGTCAATGCATCACCATCTTATCTAAGCAATAACATCCTTTCTTCTCACATTCCTCATTAATTTTAAAACAAATAAATAATAAAATTGATAAAATCTACATAAAGCATTGATGAGTGATTAAAAATAATGCGAAAATATCACATAAATGAGAAAATGAATTATTCAAATATATAAAATTTTTTACATTGAACTACTCACAATAGCCATGTACGAATGTAACATTGAAATTTGAGAGACAGCAGTGATTGTTAAAATCTGCAAAGAATAACGATAAGATTAAAAATTTAGAATCCTGTATCTCCATCTAATTCCTATTTAACCCACTGGATGTTCTGAATTAAGAGCCAAATTGGCGAAACTCGAATATGACCACGAGGTTTTGGCTCAAATTGCGAATTTGTTGAAATGTTGCAACTTAGTACAAGCGTAGTATTTGGAGTTTCAGTGGACGTTGTTGCCTGAACGATTAGTTGGAATGGTTGTCGTATTTCATGTCGAGATTTGAGAACTCCTTTTTTCCATGCATAACTTACTCATAGTAAATAATAAATTAGTGAAATGCGTAAGATATATTGTTGACCCAAAGAATATTCATTTGTCCTTTTGACTTTTTTCTTCTTGGTGGATTGAATACTATTTGCATTTCCAAATTCAGATTACCTCTGCAAATCACATCATACTGGTATATAGCTTATCCATTTCAGCTTGATTTATCACTATTCTTATTTTGTCCCATTTGCAATTCGCTACTAATTCTGTTTGTACCACACTTTAGTAGGTTCACAGTCCATTTTGATGTTCAGTTTAGTATTTCACAAGTTGCTTATATTGGCAGTTGTTACTTCTCGGATATATTGTACCCTAGCAGAATTGTGACAGTGATTTATTTTTATTACATGAATTATCAAGAATATTGTGATTTGTCATTTATAGAATTTGGAACTAGACGTGACGAGATGCAGTGTGACGATATTACATGGAATATTCTCAACAAAGGAATGTGCTCCTTTAAAACAAAGTAAGTACCGCCGTTCAATAACAAAAGTTTTTTTGTATTGTTTGGTGATGAGAGTATGAGAAGTTATAATTTTTGATAAAAAATTATAATTCTTCAACTCAGAGGTCTTTCCACTCAAATGTATTTACAATTCCTTCTTTTTCCGGTTTTTGACTGCTTCCATTTTTAGCTGAAAATTTCCAAATTTTTACAATATTTGCCATATTTACTAGGACAAAAACGCAGAAGTTTTGTCGTAATGAATATAATTTGACGGGTCTGTGTAATCGAGCGTCATGTCCATTAGCTAACAGTCAATATGCTACAGTCCGAGAGGAGAAAGGTATTTTTCGTTTTATAGAAATTCGTATGTTGAGTAAGGATTGCTTCAGAAGACTTATAAATACGGTGCGCTGGATTCATCAAAGTTTGATGTATCTGAAAGGAAAAATCTGCCTTCGGCACTTTGTTATTTGGGTAGACAGAGAACAGAAGCTGCTGTAGAAGTAATCATTACTTAAGTTGGATATGAAAGGAAATAAGTTAAGAATTGTAGTAAGTAAAGAGAAGAAAAACAAGATATTGAGATGAGAAGAAATATTTCTTATATTCCAGGTGAGACATATGACTGTTTCAGGCATCTGTTATTTATACATGAAGGTAGTTGAAAGAAGTCACTATCCACGAAGACTCTGGGAACGAATTAAATTATCACGAAATATGACTCAAGCTGTTAGACAAATTGATGATGCATTATTACATTGGTCTGAATACGTTAGACATAAATGTAAAGCGCGTTTAATACGTATACATCAGTATTTGATCAAGATGAGGAAAATGAGCCTTCGAGAAAGGTTTCTATTTGATTTAATTTTCCTTTACATAACGCAAAGATCACTAAATATTTCCTACAGTACAAGATTGAGTTGCATCAAATCACCATGGAATACGTTTTCGGAAAAACGAAAATATGCTATCTTCCATTTATGTCCATGCATTGCGAACTATTTTTAAATTTGACTAACAAGTGAATTTGTTTAAATAGACTTGGCCACTAGTATAGTTTCACTTATGATTGCTTCCGGTACGCAGGGATTCATTTACATACTCGCATATATTCTAATGATCTTGTTGAGTACCTGTTGATATCAAAATAGGTGTAATGACTTGAACTAGAAAAAATCAGAAAGGTGTTTAAAAATTGTCTTGTTCTCTTAATACCTCAAAATGTTCAGAATTTTGCTACCTATTTTAAACTCTTTAGATATTTAAATTTTCATCTTTCAGACAACAAAAGATTATTCCGATACAACGGAAGATTGAAAGACGTGAAGTGAGACGAGAAGAAAAGGCACTCATTGCTGCTAAACTGGATACAGCTATAGAAAAGGAGTTATTGAACCGTCTACGTGAGGGAATTTATGGCGGAATCTATAATTTTAGGTCGTCAAAACACCACTTTTATTCTTTGCTGTTTATTTGATTACTTTTTTTGCTGCAAAAGCCGTTTCCAATATCATACATTGGATAAGCTGCTCAACTTATATTACCCAAAGTGTGAAATGATCCATTAATTTTACTCACGAACACAACGGATTTTGCTAATGATGAGGTGATTTTAGGCAAGACTGTTTCAATCGTGTGCTTGACGAACAGGAGGAGGTGGATGCAGAATTCGATCGTGAAATTGAAATCGAAAAGGTTAGGGTTTTCTGGATTTTTGTGATTTTCCTCGTAATGGTTCATAATAGTACTTTCGATATATTTTTTTCTTTTTTAACTAGTAAAATTCAGGACATCGGAGTTCGTGAATACGTTGCTGATTTCGAGGAATCATCTGACGAAGATGGTGATGAAGATATAGAGGATGCAGGAATGAATGACTGTTGGGATGAGGAGGAGACCAGTGGTGAAAATAATGAGGTGACTGAAGATGAAGACGAAGAAAGCCCCGTGGAAGATGAAGAGGAAGAGTTGAGCAGAGAAGAAAAGAAACCGGTGAATACGGTATGTTTCTGTACTACTGATTTTACACCCTACTGGCTTCGTGTTACCTTTACAAAGATATTCATTGTGAAGTTATTCATGCATTAAGATTATCCATAAATATATTGTATGCATTTATTATCCACTGAAAAGGTTGGCTCTCTCTTTTTTTAAAACAATTTCAAGGCTGCTCGAGGGTATTGAAAACTTTCATTGGGACTAAAATGTGGTAAATTTTTCAGAAGAAAAAGAAACGAGTGAGGTGGAAGGATCTGAAGGACAAACACCCAAGACGTGAGCCTGCCAAGAAGCGCCTGCGGCGGGTGCTTGAAATCGAATACGAAACCGAAGAACCGGTGAGGAGTAAACAGAAGCTATGAAATCCATAAAGCCTAACAATACCTTTTGTGAAATAAATTGTTGTGCGAGTTATTATGATAATTTTTTTGTAATTTTGGTAATATTTGAAATTAAATTCTGTAAGCATTGTCGATCTCTTTTGATGAAGAGCAATACGCAATTACATGACGAGATTATGAGCATCACTCGCAGCACATCAATCTCTTCCTTATGAAGTGCCGAATGAGTGGAATGTTTCCGAATAGTCATCAGAAAGCGGTGGTAGAAAAATTTGCAATAATCTAGAAGTTGACATGATTTACTAGAAGTTACGAATTTCGAGTATCCATTTTATGATGATGTTTAAGTGTCAATTACTGGAATCAGTTAAGAGTACAGGTTGTAGCAAGCGCGACAAGTCAGTGCTTTATTTAAGTAAATCGAGCAACCGAAAAGAATCATTTTTGTATAATGAGAGCGAAGAAGAAAAATAATTGTATGACACAAAACATGAGATAGAGCCCGCATTTTACTTCTTAAAGTGTACGAAGCAAAAAATTATGGCACAGCACAGTAACAGTTAGACCAGATTCGAAACACACATGAAATCTTTGTTTATGGACCAAATCCTTTTTCCCCATCCATTTAACAATAATTTTAAGTGATTTATTAGTACAGAGATTCCAAACAGTGTTCGAACATGTAGTTCAAGTCAACCATAAAAAATCTATATATAAAACATTCAGAATGTAGAATTTTATATCGAAAATTGATCGAATTTCATCTAAATTCAGTTCGAGAAGAAATTCCGCTTTAATTTTTATACGGATATATTTATATAAATTATATAAAAGTATAAATATTTTTATTTATATTTTTTATATAATTTTTATTTCAATTATACAATTGAAATAAAAAATAAGGCACTATTCCCTCAATTAATATTAATGTCTGAGTTAATGGTTATGCGATGATTTCATTATTACAAATAACGATTTAAGCGGTCAATACTCGTTCTTTTTTAGCAGCTGGTCCAAAAGCTGCAAAGGTCGATGAAGTTGCAGTTCGACCCAACATGGTGTTTCTTTAATCGATGTACGATTGTAACCTGCGCCCCAACCTTTCACAAACGATATCGCTATTATGCAACATACCTAAATTTTATCAAAACGATAAAAATTATTCTTTCAGAAAATGAAAGAATTAATATTTCTTAATAAAAAATTAATAAGAATTAATACATTTTTTGTTTGCAATGTTTTTCAAATATTCAGAAACTGTCAATTATATTTTGCACACTTTTTTCCCACATTACTAGATGACAACCTTCTTCAAAAACATAAAAATGATTGCTTCTCATGAGTTTCATCTTTTATTGAGTTCTTTATCCATTAATAGGTGTATAGGAGTTCCGCAGCATCGGAAGCACATGTTCATCCGAACGCACTGAGTTTTCAAGAAATAAATTATTCCCCGTCATCAGAAGATAATTACGTACTTAGCAGAAAATGGGAAAAAAGTATATAGCGCTTACTCGTCTCAAATCGTCAACACCTGTCCCAACATGTTCAATCAGTGACGACGCAATATTTGCTGGAGGAAGATAGCCAGCAACTGCTGCAGCTTGTGCTACAACAGCTAAGCGAGCAGATTTACTCTGATGCTCCATTTCCGCAAAAGCCCAACGTAAATCGAAAATCTGTAATACGATACATCACTTGCCGAAAAAAGAGAAACAAACGGTTGAACCTTTAAAAGAAGAAAAACAATAGTGCTTCACACTTTTTATACTATCGTAGAAAAATATTTAAATAGAAAATTTATTTTTTATATTTAACTAAAGAAAATACCCATTTGTTTTATATCAATACTCAAAGAATGATTATTTAGTAGCTACTATATTATTTATCATTCAGTATTATATTATTTACACTAAATTACAACGACAGATCACTTTTTTGCTCGGCGAACCAGGACAAAATTTATGTACAGTGGTACCACATTCAATATCGTTCTCAAAATCCAAGTAATAACTTCGGACAAAAACAGATTTGTGTGACAAGCATTCCAGATATACACTACCGTCACGCTGTGTTGAAATACGTACTCCCTTTCCGATGTGTAGCCTAAATAAATAATTTTTAGTATAAACTTGAAATATAAAATACTTCTGAGAAATTTTCGAATAAAAACAAAAAAGAAAAATCATTATTCACGCAATTCTAGCATGGTTATTATTCATGTAGCTCAATGAAAAACAAGAAAAAAAGAAATAAATGCTTTCCTTGCTTTTTCGGAAGCTTCACTCCTATGTACGTTTGATAAAGCTCCTAAACAAAATCGACCATGCTTAGCTCCTGCTGGATTAACGCCACCATCAATCACTACCTATTTAAATGACGAATTGGAAATTGTTACCAAATAAATTTAATAAATTTTCATATTTTCCTAATGCTTTTCAAAATTAATTTTCGTATAAATTATAATAAGACTTAACAATAAAACATGAAGTGATTAAGACGAAAGTTACATTACGTACAATTCCGTTTTCATTACTCTTGTCAAAAACACAACAAATAACTTGAAATTTCTTCTAAACTCTGAAATTTGAAGTGCAACATACTTCTGTCCGATCTTTTCGAACTCGAAATGTTTCACCGATTTGCGTATCTAATTCGTAATATGATATGGAACACCAGTGATCGGGAACTGCAATGCGACGCTGTACAAAAAATGGACAAGTTTTAATTTTTCCAGCGTTCTTCAACAATATTAGTTTTAAAATAAAAATTTGAAAGTTCATGAAAATGCTTTATTAGAGAAGTAGTAGAATCGGTAGTAAATGAAAATGGTACTTGGTGTGGTAGGCAAACGTATTGAATCCAAATTATCTGCAAGAAATAATGAAATAGTAGAAAAAAAACATAGAATGAAGTCAGAATTTTCAGAAATTAAACTTAAATAGAAGCAATGAATAGTAGCTTAATTAAGCAGCAAAGTAAATGAACATCAATACTTACATCTACAACGTCCGGTTGGGTAATTACATGAATCGTTAATTTGTTGGTAGTTGGCTGGAAAATAAATGAAGTTAGTTTTTATAAACATCTCATAATCAAATACTGATTTCGCTATTTTAAATATTATTTTTTTAAAAAGAGAAGAATTCAACATATGATGACCTCTTAAACCCATGATCTCTTTCGTTCCTTGATTGTTGCACATTCTTTTCAATGATATTACAAGAAATTTTGGAAATTGGCAAGAACTATTAGTAAAAGTGACTGTTTAATAACTTTCAATCACTCCGAATTATATTTGATTTTTGGAAATTTCTTTTGGGAGTATTTTGCAAAATTATAAGGTGATTGGATCAATAACAGAAATTTCGAAATTTTGATTTTTATGCACACATCAATTTTCATATTGTTTACTTTAAACAAGTAAAAAAATTGTTTGCGACAATTTAAAATTTCTACTACAAATGTTCAAAAAAAAGCCATTACCTTGAGAATGTTGTTGATAAAGATGTGCAGCGGATGAATTTGCTGCTGATAAAACACAATTCTGATTCAGCCAGGCATTCCGATCGTCAACAGCGGCGCCACCGTTCGTCCCACCTTGCAACATATTTAATGATCCGGGTGACGTCACATCACAATATGAACCCTAAAATTGAAATGTTAGTTTTGAAATTTCTCGATATTTCAAATTTATTCATCGAGACTGGTGAATCATCTCGTTATTATTCTAGCATTCTACACAGATATATGTTCATGGCCAGTGCGAATGAGCTTGCAACACAATGGCGTACTTTCTTGCTCAATTCGAAAAATGATTTCAAATTTTATTCATTTTGTAAACTTTAAGGAATCATTTGAGGGTTAGTAAATTAAAGAATGATAGTAAAGTTAGCATTTCAGCAACATTAATATTGCTAAACAAAGTTCAAAAGTGCAAAATGCTTTTTCTCCCTTCGTAAACAATTTACTTCAATTGGTAATGATTGTGCAGCAATTTGCGCTTGGGCCATCTGTCCCGGTACAACATTACTGGACAATGGATTTACTACTGTGATTTGCGATGAAGATGGTGGCGCAGTTAAGGCATCCAAACGAAGAGTTGACATGTCTACAAGTGAAATTAACTACATGAACTAGTAAATTAAGTTCAGTATAATTAACGAGATCATAAAAGTAATAAAATTAAATATAACAAACAGAATGTACCAATGTTTCCGATGCTTGATGACACAATTCGTTCGTAATGATATGGATTAATGCAAATCACATCCTGAAAATCCGATAGAGGTTAACAATTTCCGAAATAATAGGACAGATCAGAAATTTTATGTACTAGACAAACCAAAGTCGCTATCGAGCCGAAATGTGTTACATTTTTCAACCATCGAACAAGTGATAATGATTCAAAGATAGCAAAACTATTTCGACTCAGGTTTCTCGTAGTGTAATAACTTCTCTATGAGTATTTGACACAAAAATTTGTAACAAAACATACGAAAATCTTAAATGACATCTCACAGTATTGCTCTACTTAAAAGAACGATAAATTAATTTGCTTTACTTCAGAAAAATTAAGATTTAAAAGAAATTAGCAAAACCTGGTTATCAGGTGCTATCGCACAAACCGGCAATTTTTGCAGTTCATTTTTGTTAACATTTGGCCAACGCCAAATTCGAGCATAAACTACGTGTGGAACACCTTTTCGACCTGCAACTTGTAGCCGTCCATCCAACGATCTCTGCAACACATTCGTAAATAACGGAAGAAAGGAATCAATACTAATAAATCTTTTAAATGAAAAATGATTTGAGTAAAAGTATGGTTTATTTAGTTTTTTCTAATAAAATTTAAATGTCTTATTTTTTTAGAAATAACATTTAACTGCAAAATGTTTCATGCAAACGATTGCAGTGAACATTTAGATCTTGTTCCTCATGGCGATGCAAAACTATACAGGAAACGGCCAAACGCTGTCTATCAAAGGCAACTTTTAATGGTAGGTTTTAATCATTTAAAAATTCATCATCATGAGTAAACCATTGATGTCATAGCAGTAACAGTGGAAGGAAAGAATGAACCTGGATTGTGACACACGATGTTGGTTGTTTCCCAGCCGACGTTACAGCGGTAATTAAATTTTCCAGTTCATTACGTTTATCTTTCAACTTCTTTACTAAACTTTCGATTGCTTTCCGCACAAATTCGGCATCTTCACCACCCTGAAAATGTCCTCAAAGTAGTTCGATTCCCTTTGCAATGTATAAAATTACTCCCACTGTTCATACTTTCAAGACAATATTTTAACAAATAAATGGCTAAAAGTTGCTAAAAATTCATCATAAGTACACTAAAATCTATGAGCTGTACTTGAAAAAATTAGAATTTTGAAACGTTGCATAGCAATTTAATAATAAAGCTTGAAATGAAAGATGAAATATAATGAGTTAGTTTAGCGAATGATATCTGAAATCGAGAAGACAGTGGACGTGAAAAGAAAACCTTGATATCACTTGTTAACAAACCTGCTGGTAGCACTGAAGAACATGGGCTATTTGGGCACATGGATCAGTAGCTGATGCAGTAGCATGATGTGATGAGGATGGCATCGGATTTCCCGAATAATCATTATGCTGCTGCGATATATCACGAATTAACGTTTTGTCTGTCATCTATAACATTGTTATATTTTCTCATCTTTGACAAAATATGTTACTAATGAATAACGATATGGAAAGCATAAAACATTTCGGTAAATTTTCAACTTGTTAGAATTCGATGTGAAGGACAAACTCATGTCATTTTAAAACAGTTACCAGATATTATCAAATTTTACTCCAAAGCATATCGAAGAATTGGTACAGTTAATGCATGAAAACAACACTAAACATAATGAGATTATCTCAGAATGATAACAAAAAAGTTACTTCTGAGATGTTAAAATCAGTTTTTCTTTTTTTTTTTTTAAATTTAGGATAAAAAGAAAAAGATTAGAAATTTTACACAGTATAGAAAATTTACTAACCGATGGATGCATGTTATGCATAGCTTGAACTGGTTGATACTCGTAAAAATTAGTTGAAAAAGGTAGAGTACCAGGTAGTATTTGCCTCATTCCAGTTGCAACCGCTACACTGTCTGAATAATTTTGTATCGTTGGAATCCCATGTTGCTGAATTTTTGAAATGAATAAATTGTAACTGTGGTAAAGTGAATTCAAAATAATATACTTTTTTGGATTAAATCTTTAGAAATGAACTTTTAAAGTAAATTTTTTGCTCTTCCTAACTAGCAGTATCCAAATCCTATATGTCCTGAAAATTTACACTTCCAAAACTTACCGGATGTACTTGTTGTTGTCGCATGAACATTTGTTGTTGTTGCTGTTGATGCTGTTGTTGCTGTATAATAGGTGGAACATTTCCTGAAATTCATCTTGATGTTTATCGTCGTATTTAACAAACAATTTAATGCTACAAACCCATCAAGTGTTAATTCATCGCAAGAATAAATCAGTGAAATTCTTTAATAAGCACAACAAATGAATTGTGTTAAATCTTCTGGTTTTTTAATCTAAGCCATAAGCTAGAACAACTTCACAGCAATCTTTGTCATAAAAATAACCAGTTCTCAACTTTTATTGGGAAACGAGAAGTAATCTTTTACTTCTACTATTTAAAAAACAAACTTCCATAATTTGACATCAAAAAAGATTAAAAAAATTAGAAATTTTTTTATTAATGACCTTAAAAGTCAATTTTAATTAAACAATTCTTATAATTTCGAACATATCGAGGTAAAACAAAATGATAAGGTGATAGAAATAATCAGAAATGATAGCGAAAAAAGAGAAACCTGGCATTTGTGTACGCAATATTTGTTGTAGTGGTACTTGTTGATGTTGTTGTTGATGAATTAAGCCACCATCAGTACCATCCAAAAAACCATTAAAATACTGTACTGGAACAGGGCCTGTATTAGTGGATGTAGTTGTAGCACTAACCAAAGGTACAGTGCTTGATTGTTGATGTATTAAACCACCCGCATTCATCATTATCTTCCGAATTATTCCTGAAAATGTGTCGTAGAAATATTACCAATTACTGGTATTTTCTTCTTTCGCAATATATTTCGAAAATTATTTAAAAAATGTTTAGGAGAGGAAGCGGGAACTTATCATTTAGAAATGCTTAAATGACGGGAAGCATAAAATTATCACTGTTTAAAATCTAATCGAAACTATAAATGAAAGATATAAATTAGACTACTCTACAGATTATATTCAAATAAAAACCGAATATGGTATTTTCTTTTCTACGATCATCAGAAAAAAACAAGAGAAAAATCATTCTAATATTAAAATAACGCAGTCTGACCTTTAGGAAAAAGTGACATATGACATAGGTCAACATCAATGCATCATAATTTAACAAATGTAATTGATATTCGTATCTTCTAATTTAATGTAAAAACACTAACGATAACAAATTTAGTATTTTATTTCAACTTCTTCTCTTTTTTTAATACTTTTCATAATTTTAAAGTATACAAGAAAATAAAACAAAAAAAAAATTGGCAATTGTTTTAATAAGTATGTTTAGAAATATGCTGAAAATATAAAAGTTGAATTAAATCAATAAAAACAGAATAATTTTTATTGCTTAAGTATTAATTACAATAATTTCACATAAATAATAAATTCATTTATTTTATTTAATCATCCTTAATCGCAACACTTATATTTATTATCATAGGAAGACATTATGTATATCAATAAGTGTACAGCATAAATATATAATTCTTATCGTTATCATATCACATGAACAGACAGACAAATACACACAGACACACATACACACTATTGAATAAATGAATAAATAATCGAATAATTGAATAAATAATTTAAGTTAATTGAATACTAAATTAGGAATATCAATAGAAGAAAGAAAGAAAGGAAATAAAAAGATGAAATTGTTATATATTTGAAAGAAAAGAAGGCAAAAAAAGGTGAAGATAAAAGGCTTGAAAATGGAGCAGAAAAGAAGAAATCGATGATAGCAATTAACAGTCTAATTAATTGACATATTTAGTGTAAAAATAAATGAATGACAATAAAATGTCATTCGTAATCATTTGATGAAATTGAGAAATAAAAATGGCCTAATCGTAAAAATTAAAAACGTTCAACAATGATTGAACTAACGTTCACAAATGCTTATGATAACGATGACGACGGCGATGATGATGATGATGATGAATGATGATGATGATAACGATGATGATGATACGATAATGATTACGATGATGATAATGATAATGTATTATGATGATGATGATGATGACAGTGATGGTAATAATGATAATTACAAAGTGACGATGAGAGGAGGAAAAAGAGGAGAAGAAAAAGGAGGAAGAGAGGGGGTGGGATGAGATGATGATTGATTTGTAAATTTTCTTGTTTCGCAAGAGAAGGAAAAAAAAGAAAAAGAAATGAAGTGAGAGGAGATAAAAAAGGAAAAGGAGGAGAATTAGAGATGTAAGGTAAAAAAGGATAAATGCATTTAGAATTGGTAGGGTAATAAGGTGAGAAGCATTAAAGATAAAATACAGGCATCATTATTATTATTATAGAGAAGATGGTTATGGTTATGCATCTTGCAATTGCATCACTGTTTGCATTTTGCAATTGCATTGATATATGCAATAGCATTTGGCATGCGGTGTTTGCAGCAGAATGTATTAATATACAAAAGTGGTGATTTGTTTTTTTCATATTATAGTCAAAATTCTAATTAATAATTTTTTAGTCATCATTTTGGTTGTTTAAATTTATGCAGTAATTATATTATGATTGATAGTGATTTTAATATGCCGAAAATGATAAAGATTAATTGCAATCAAAATTAATTTATCTTATAAGTATCACTATAACAGCAGCAATTACTTGTTGTAATTTGATTGTTGAACGCGTATTACTATAACAATAATAGTTATTTATTGCAATTTAGTTATTGTCAAAGTATTACCGTAACAGTAACGATCACTTATTGCGATCAAGTTAATTACTGTACATATATCATTATAACAGTAATGATTATCGTAATTTAGTTACTATGCAAGTAGTACTATAATAATCTCATTTATTGTAATTAGATTATTCATTATACAAATATTACTATAAATCATACTTTTTAACGAGCCAAACGGAAACAATAAAGTGATTGTAATTTAATTGTCCATCATGATAAATATAACTGAAAGCTTCCTGGAAAGCAGGGGATAATAATTTCTCCCCATTCCCCTCCACCTCTCATATACCCACACACACATACGCACATACACATACACACATGGACATATCCTTTCATCGATCCCTTTAAAAGCTGTTGCTTTCAATCTCTGTTTAGAAATTAGTAATTTGCTTTAGTCCATTACCATTCATTAAATTTGATTTGATCGCATTTTTATTTTCCAACAATCAGTGTGTATCATATGTGTATCATGTGTGTGTATGTGTGTGTGTGTGTGTGTGTATGTGTGTGTATGTGTGTGTATGTGATTGAGTTGAATTGAAGGATTGATTCATTTCAATAAATCAAAATTTGATTTTTTTGTTCTTTTAATTATACAAAATTATTTGTGTGTTAGTTTTAATGAATGTTTACTTTTATGAATAATGAATTGTTTACAAATCGATATTATTGTTGTTTATAAATTGAAAAAAGGATGAATGTATTTGTAGTAAATAAATCTTTTTTTGAACTCAATTGCTACAAATTATTATTATTAAATCGTTTATTGTTTACTTTTGAAAGTAATAAAAGTTTAAAAAAATTTTAATTAGCAATTAAAATATTTCAAAATTCTAAATCAAACTAATTTAAAGGTATATGCTAAAAGAAATTAATTAGGGTTAAGAAATTAAAGAATAGTGGTGTAATTAATGAAATTAATGTGTTGCCCATATTTTCCTGAAATAAAAGTTGCGGTAAAAGTAAGAATAAATATGAAAGGATAAAAGTGAGGAAGAGAGATAGACATGAAATAGTGATGTTATAAGAAGAAAGTTGAAAATATAAAACAAAAGATATAACTTAGTTAATTCTTTAAAATATTTCAGTAGCAAACTCATAATGATTATTAATTAATTTTTATGTCATTTCAATTTTTCTCTTTAAATTAAAAAAATTAATTTTTACACAAAAGAAAATATTTGTGAGAAGAAGTGAATAAATAAAATAAAACGTTCTATCCTCCTTGATATTCATATCATTATTGATTGATTTACTACATCTTACCATTTTTCCTCTTTAAATTTCTTAAAAATTAGTTGTTTGTACAAAGTTGTCACAATAAATAATAATTATCACAGTAATATAATATTTGTAATTAATTATCACAGTAATATAATATTTGTAATTAATTATCACAGTAATATAATATTTGTAATTAATTATCATAGTAATATAATATTTGTTAAATAAAAAAGAAAATAATAATATAACAAAGAAATTTTCATTTTGTAATTTCAATGAATGAAAAAATTATAAGTCAATTTTATTTATTTTTTTTTGTTCTATTCCTAATTAAATGTTTGAATTAATGATCGCTCCTTTTTTTTCAATTTAAATTGCCTCCAATAAACAAAATTTTAACGATTTTTGTTTATGATTTATTTGAGGCGGAAAATCGATTCATTCCTTTTTTACTATTGTTTACATTTTCACTAATAATTTATAGTATATAATTATAGTATATAATTAGACTGATAAAAAGTGATGCAAATATAATTAAATTAAAAAAGAGCAACAATTAATTTAGAAATGTTAGGATTTATACTTTTGGTGATACATTGTAGAAATATTACAATTGTAATATTAAAATATTATGTGAATGAATACTTTTAAAATTAAATTTTTCTTTTTTTATTCCTAGTTATATTCGAATTATTTCCATTAAAAGAAATAGTAATACAATAAATTATTCATATATTCGTTCATAAAACAATGCTAAAATTAATTTTAATTTCGATGAAATATAACATTCTGAATATATTTGACATTAATTGATGTAAATTCAGGTGAGAATACAGGTCAGATATAATTTAGGTCAGAAATGTAAATTCAGGTGAGAATACATGAAGAAATCATTCACAAAATATCAATTATTATTTTAACCAAAAAGCTTTACAATTTTTGTTTATTTTAAAATTAAGAAAATAATTTTAAAAAACAAATTGTTTAGAATTAAAAATAATGAAAAGCTTTCACTAAAAAGATAAACAATTACAAGAAATTCTAATGAAATATATAATAAACAAAGTAAATAACAATTATACGAATGAATGAATAATAAACAATAAATAATTAAAGAAATAAACAAAAAATGAAAAACAAAACTTTCCCTTAAAAATACAATAAATAAATTAATGTATTCTTACAAAAATAATAAAATAATTTAGGAAAGGAAGGAAAACAAAAGAGAAACAAAAAATTTATAAATTTATTTTAAAAGTTCAAAAAAATTTATTTCAATAAACTTATTTTTATTAAATGAATGAAAAAAAAGAAATTGCTGCAATAATTACATCTAACATTTAATTAATGGCTGGCAATAAAGTATTAATCATTTACAACCATTTCCATTAAACCATTTCATTTCACGAATTGTTCTTTTTTTTTGCTCCGATATATATATAATTAAAATTATAATTGTATACATATAATAATAATAATTATAATTATTATTATTGTTGCTAAAATTGATTTAACAAATTGACAATGAAAATAGATGAACAATAGAATGAAAAGGAATGCTGAAATTGACAATTTGTTCCACCTAGAAAATGCTATCAGAAGAAATGAATGAATAATGACTATTCCGTTAATGTATCATTTCCTTTTTGTTCTTAACATTTCCGGAATGAATTTCGTTCATTACGTACGGTAAGGATGAAATATAAATGGGAAAGAATGGACTGATAAATGATAAGCAAACGTTATTCTATTTCTAATTTGAAAAAGAAAAGTTATAATATAGCGAAAAATTTTCTAT